TTTTCCACAGATCCTGTTACTTTGACTTGAAGCTGTTGCATGCACAATATGCCGAAGCGCATGGTCCATAAAGCCGTCGCCATAAGAACCCGCCTAAAACATCCAAACCCTGACTTTCTCGGGCATACTTGTACCCGAGAAGCCCCCTTTTCGTTGCTTCGGGACCCTTGGCCCCGAAGAAAATGCCTCAACCCCAGCTGCAGGCAAGTCTCTATGGTCGCCACTGCAGTGCTCCTTGGCACTTTTAGAGGGGTACCCTGAATGTACCCCCAAAATAGTATAATCCTTATTGTCGGAACCCCCAAGAGGGAGGTTCTGCAAGTCGAGCGGTTCAATGCATGTCGTTGCTCACCTAAGGCCCTGGCGCGCCAGCTGTGGTGACAGTTCGCGAAGCCTCCATGCCCAAGCAAAGATTGCACATGGTGAGATCTACTCCCCTCCCCCTTGAATATTAGGGGGTAGGGAGGGTTTAATGTTAGGGGGAGGGGATCACTTACTACTTCCTCAACCCAGCTGGTTGAGATTTAGCGCTCATGCATCACGCCGTTTGCATCGGAGCAAGACGTCCAACAGACCTTCGGTAAGGCAGCATGCCCTCATTTCTGATGGCAAGGATTCGCTGCACACATTGCTTTCGGATCCCTTCTGCTGACATGCAGATGGAAACAGTTCAAAAGCGTGTCCGCGGAGTGCTAGCATCGGCTTGTCAGCACCTGCTCTTTGTCAGACACACCTGTAGCCTGTAGACTATACATGGCTCAAGATTCAAGGTTGAATAACTTTGGCAGCGCGGCAAAGATTGCGCGCAGCGCCGAAATTGAACTCCAAAATGAGCAGCATAGAACACAAAAACGAACTACTCACTAAGGTCAAGAGCACAGCCCTGCAACTATGGTCAGTTTACGCAGGGACAAGGGGCTTGTATGCCAAGACTTGCGCGACGCGGTCCGCCCCAAAGGTGGCCGCAATGCCAGCCTTGTTCGAGTGGGCTTGCAGATTCACAGCGATGGTCTTCTCGTTGATGGGCGTGGCGGCCTCCAGCTGACGCTTCTTGCCAGTGACGTCACCCACCAGAAGCTCGAAGTTGCCCGAAGCATCCTTGCGAAGAAGTCCCGAGAGGTCGAAGGCACCCGAGAACTCATGGGACCCTGCGCCAGCATTCACGCCGGCCACGGAGCTGACTCCCGCCAGCTCGCGGGTGTTCGCGCGGCCGCCACTCTGCGCGACGAAGTAGTACTTCATCGGGACACCCACCTTGGCCAGAAACTTGCGCTCGCCGTACCAGTTGCCGCCGTCCTCGTGGATCACGAAGTAGTCCTCGCCATTCGCCGCGGCGATCCACTCCATGCCATCTACATCCTCTCTGCAAAAGCTGTGCTGAAAACGAAACAAAAATACCCTAAGCCCTGCATACAAGACCCTTAACCCTTAACCCTAAACCAACTACGGGCCACTGGCACCCGCAGAGCATCCGACTCTCATCCGAGTCCTCGAAGGTGCTCTTGTCCCTCGAGCTGTCCCGCATCCTGGGGTTTAGTGTTTTCACAAGGGTCTAGGGTGTGGGTCTAGGGTTTAGGGTTTCGGGGTTTCGGGGTTTCGGGGTTTAGGGGTTTAGGGGTTTAGGGGTTTAGGGGTTTAGGGGTTTAGGGGTTTAGGGGTTTAGGGGTCTGGGGAGCCAGTACGAGTTCGACCGAGGAACTGGGAACACTACGTATACAACCATTATTAGCCAGTCAGTGAACCAACAAAGTTCAGCAAAACTGCTGTGCTCAATACATGTATGAGCATCATGGTTTGGTTGCTCCCGTCTGCGCGGATGCCAGCACCGCCCAGCTCGATCAAGTCCACGACGTCGGACTCAGGCTGGTGCACCGTGTAGGTGGCAGGGATGGAGTTGGGCAAGGTACCAGCGGACAGGAGGGAAGGCAGGTCCGAGAAGTCGTAGATCCCGAAGTAACCGGCTGTAGAACCTTGCAACACGCGATGACCCCCCCGCGGGTCGGGGGACACGTGCTCTGTTTTTGCACCGGGAGCATTCCTGCCATTCGCATTCCAGAAGCACCAGCCGGCGGGGGCACCCTGAGGGTCGTCCTGAAACTCCCAACTTCCATCGTGCTCGAAGCCCTGCACCACGCCGCGCTGCGCCTGCCATCGCAGCTTGTAGAAGGCGCCCGTCACGGTGTCACCCGGAGACGCCGTCTTGTGCCAGGCATCTCGGGTTGTGACGGTGCCACAGTCGACGGCGAAGCCATAGAGTGCTCCGTACTCGAAGCCGTTTCTGGCGAGGAAATCCGTGGTGTCGACGGCGCCATCTTTGTTCGTGTTCTTCTTGCCGATGTAAAGCTTTGTGGGCACAATGTCTCGTGGCCAGACGTACGGCTGTGCATCCGTTCGCGTGTAGGCAGCATTGCGGGCGTCCAGTGAGGCACCGCCGCTCAAACCAAAATTGCCATTGTAGCCGGAGGGAACGAAGGCCACGTAGTCCTGGTGGCCGCTGTTCACTTCCACGACCTTCTCATGGCCACCGAGGGTGAAAACAGCCGTGGCCCAGAGTTCGCCCGTGGCCAGGTTCAGAACATGAACAGGCAGGCCGATAGGCAAGGAGGCGTCAGGGTACGCGATCCACTCCTCGTTGGTGATGAAGAGGTCGTCCTCCACGCCCTTGCCGTTTCCCCACTGATGCCGTACCTCCAGGTGGGCGGAGCAAAGAGACTGCATGAGCCAGTCCGCCTTGGTCGGGGCCACAGCGGTCTTTCCAACGATATAGTTGCCCTCAATGTCCACGTTGCTCTCATGCACATTGGAGGTCGTTGGCTGCAAGCCGTCCCCGGTGCGGTTCCGTGGCCCCACCGGCTCCCGTTTCAGGTTGTAGGCCATCGTCACCGCGTTGCCAGCACCCTTCACCATTCCCTGAGCCTTGGAGGGTGCCCCATCGTCCATGAAGGTGGCGAGCATACTTCTGTCGTAGTCGATAAAATGGATGTGGGAGCCCGTAAAGCTAGCAGTGTTGCCGTTCACCATCCAAGGGTACGATTCTGGGTTGGAGGTGACCAGCTGGCCGTATGCCTCGCTCTGGTAAATCAGCCGCACCGTGTCGGCATCCTTCAAGTACGCCCCCAGTCCGTCTGGAACGCCTTTCAGTCATGAGTCATGTCTCGCGCAGTCTCATGAAACAGAACAAAGAACAGACCGCCCATGTTACACACACGCACACACAGACACACAGACACAGACAGACAGACAGACAGACAGACAGACAGACAGACAGACAGACAGACAGACAGACAGACAGACAGACAGACAGACAGACAGACAGAGACAGACAGACAGACAGACAGACAGACAGACAGACAGACAGACAGACAGACAGACAGACAGACAGACAGACAGACAGACAGACAGACAGACAGACAGACAGACAGACAGACAGACAGACAGACAGACAGACAGACAGACAGACAGACAGACAGACAGACAGACAGACAGACAGACAGACAGACAGACAGACAGACAGACAGACAGACAGACAGACAGACAGACAGACAGACAGACAGACAGACAGACAGACAGACAGACAGACAGACAGACAGACAGACAGACAGACAGACACACACACACACACACACACACACACACACACACACACACACCCGCACACACGCAATGGCCGTGACATGTCATTATGCAGCTGGTGAACTGCAGACAACCTACCAACTGCACAACGGGCCTGTGAGCATGGATCCTGTCCTGGGGTCAACCTCGCCCACTGTGGCAAGCACCTTGATGTTGCCGTGCGGGAAGTTGGTGTTGCCAGCCTTGCCATCTACCAGGTAGTCCGGGTTCGTGCCAGCATCGGAGGCCTCGCAGATTGGCTGGTCATGATAGCCCACGGGCTTCACATCGGCCATCTGGGAGCAGAACTCGGCGGGGAACTGCACACCCGGCACCTGTGCAAGCAGCTGCATGGCCTTGGCACAGTCGCACACCCCCGCAGGGCTGCTCGCCCCACAAACGGAGCTGCTGAAGCTGCCGCCCTCGCTGGTGCTGAAGTCCAACGCCACGGACGTCTCGCCCTCAGAGCAGCAGTTTTGGGCCTGGTAGAAGGTGCGGACATTTCCGCAGGACATGCCGTGATCGTGGGCATCAACACCCATCACCGAGGCTGCCACCATCACCAACAGTCCGGTGGCAAAGGATGGCCGAGCAGCCACCAAAGGCAGCGCCATCGCAATCCGGGCCGAGTTGCGAGCTCCGTGGTTGATGTCAACCTCCTCCAAGGTTGTCGAAGTCGAGTGTGTAGAGCACAGATCCAGATGTGGGTGGTTCGGGCACTGGGCGGCCATCGCACCAGCAAAAATCGCGCTGACTGCAAGGAGGTGGCTCAACATGGTGACGGCAGGGTCGCGAGGGCGCAAGCGCTACAAGCTCTGAGTGGGAAAGCACCGGTGTCCACATTCGATGAAGGGCACCCTGCATTATTATGTGTGTTCATCTCTAGATCAAGCTAGGTTTACCCAAAGTCAGACCCCATGTCAACATTTTCCTCCTGAATCCCCCCGGTGATCTGAGCGAAGGCGTCTTTGGGACTTTAGATTTGCCCTTCTTGTACCCGTACATGCGCAAGCAAAGATTGCACATGGCGAGGTCTACTTACTAATTCCTCCACCTACAGACCTTCGGAAAGGCAGCATGCCCTCATTTCTGATGGCAAGTATTCGCTGCACACATTGCATTTCGGATCCCTTCTGCTGACATGCAGATGGAAACAGTTCAAAAGCGTGTCCGCGGAGTGCTAGCATCGGCTTGTCAGCACCTGCTCTTTGTCAGACACACCTGTAGCCTGTAGACTATACATGGCTCAAGATTCAAGGTTGAATAACTTTGGCAGCGCGGCAAAGATTGCGCGCAGCACCGAAATTAAACTCCAAAATGAGCAGCATAGAACAGAAAAACAAACTACTCACTAAGGTCAAGAGCACAGCCCCGCAACTATGGTCAGTTTACGCAGGGACAAGGGGCTTGTATGCCAAGACTTGCGCGACGCGGTCCGCCCCAAAGGTGGCCGCAATGCCAGCCTTGTTCGAGTGGGCTTGCAGATTCACAGCGATGGTCTTCTCGTTGATGGGCGTGGCGGCCTCCAGCTGACGCTTCTTGCCAGTGACGTCACCCACCAGAAGCTCGAAGTTGCCCGAAGCATCCTTGCGAAGAAGTCCCGAGAGGTCGAAAGCACCCGAGAACTCATGGGACCCTGCGCCAGCATTCACGCCGGCCACGGAGCTGACTCCCGCCAGCTCGCGGGTGTTCGCGCGGCCGCCACTCTGCGCGACGAAGTAGTACTTCATCGGGACACCCACCTTGGCCAGAAACTTGCGCTCGCCATACCAGTTGCCGCCGTCCTCGTGGATCACGAAGTAGTCCTCGCCATTCGCCGCGGCGATCCACTCCATGCCATCTACATCCTCTCTGCAAAAGCTGTGCCAAAACAAAAATGGTCTGCAAATGTCTGCAATAATTAGACCGTGGACCTACAACTATGGGCCACTGGCACCCGCAGAGCACGCGACCCTCAACGCTGCACCGTCCGAGTCCTCGAAGGTGCTCTTGTCCCTCGAGCTGTCCCGCATCCTGGGGTTTAGGGTTTACGGTTTAGAGTTTGGGGTTTGGGGTTTAGGGGAGCCAAGGCTGACTTCGACCGAGGAATTAACTACGAAGACTGCTGTGCTCAATACATGTATGAGCATCATGGTTTGGTTGCTCCCGTCTGCGCGGATGCCAGCACCGCCCAGCTCGATCAAGTCCACGACGTCGGACTCAGGCTGGTGCACCGTGTAGGTGGCAGGGATGGAGTTGGGCAAGGTACCAGCGGACAGGAGGGAAGGCAGGTCCGAGAAGTCGTAGATCCCGAAGTAACCGGCTGTAGAACCTTGCAACACGCGATGACCCCCCCGCGGGTCGGGGGACACGTGCTCTGTTTTTGCACCGGGAGCATCCCTGCCATTCGCATTCCAGAAGCACCAGCCGGCGGGGGCACCCTGAGGGTCGTCCTGAAACTCCCAACTTCCATCGTGCTCGAAGCCCTGCACCACGCCGCGCTGCGCCTGCCATCGCAGCTTGTAGAAGGCGCCCGTCACGGTGTCACCCGGAGACGCCGTCTTGTGCCAGGCATCTCGGGTTGTGACGGTGCCACAGTCGACGGCGAAGCCATAGAGTGCTCCGTACTCGAAGCCGTTTCTGGCGAGGAAATCCGTGGTGTCGACGGCGCCATCTTTGTTCGTGTTCTTCTTGCCGATGTAAAGCTTTGTGGGCACAATGTCTCGCGGCCAGACGTACGGCTGTGCATCCGTTCGGGTGTAGGCAGCATTGCGGGCGTCCAGTGAGGCACCGCCGCTCAAGCCAAAATTGCCGTTGTAGCCGGAGGGAACGAAGGCCACGTAGTCCTGGTGGCCGCTGTTCACTTCCACGACCTTCTCATGGCCACCGAGGGTGAAAACAGCCGTGGCCCAGAGTTCGCCCGTGGCAAGGTTCAGAACATGAACAGGCAGGCCGATAGGCAAGGAAGCGTCAGGGTACGCGATCCACTCCTCGTTGGTGATGAAGAGGTCGTCCTCCATGCCCTTGCCGTTTCCCCACTGATGCCGTACCTCCAGGTGGGCGGAGCAAAGAGACTGCATGAGCCAGTCCGCCTTGGTCGGGGCCACAGCGGTCTTTCCAACGATATAGTTGCCCTCAATGTCCACGTTGCTCTCATGCACATTGGAGGTCGTTGGCTGCAAGCCGTCCCCGGTGCGGTTCCGTGGCCCCACCGGCTCCCGTTTCAGGTTGTAGGCCATCGTCACCGCGTTGCCAGCACCCTTCACCATTCCCTGAGCCTTGGAGGGTGCCCCATCGTCCATGAAGGTGGCGAGCATACTTCTGTCGTAGTCGATAAAATGGATGTGGGAGCCCGTAAAGCTAGCAGTGTTGCCGTTCACCATCCAAGGGTACGATTCTGGGTTGGAGGTGACCAGCTGGCCGTATGCCTCGCTCTGGTAGATCAGCCGCACCGTGTCGGCATCTTTCAAGTATGCCCCCAGTCCGTCTGGGACGCCTTTCAGTCATGAGTCATGTCTCGCGCAGTCTCATGAAGCAAAACAAAGAACAGACCGCCCATGTGACACACACGCAGGTACACACGCAATGGCCGTGACATGTCATTATGCAGCTGGTGAACTGCAGACAACCTACCAACTGCACAACGGGCCTGTGAGCATGGATCCTGTCCTGGGGTCAACCTCGCCCACTGTGGCAAGCACCTTGATGTTGCCGTGCGGGAAGTTGGTGTTGCCAGCCTTGCCATCTACCAGGTAGTCCGGGTTCGTGCCAGCATCGGAGGCCTCGCAGATTGGCTGGTCATGATAGCCCACGGGCTTCACATCGGCCATCTGGGAGCAGAACTCGGCGGGGAACTGCACACCCGGCACCTGTGCAAGCAGCTGCATGGCCTTGGCACAGTCGCACACCCCCGCAGGGCTGCTCGCCCCACAAACGGAGCTGCTGAAGCTGCCGCCCTCGCTGGTGCTGAAGTCCAACGCCACGGACGTCTCGCCCTCAGAGCAGCAGTTTTGGGCCTGGTAGAAGGTGCGGACATTTCCGCAGGACATGCCGTGATCGTGGGCATCAACACCCATCACCGAGGCTGCCACCATCACCAACAGTCCGGTGGCAAAGGATGGCCGAGCAGCCACCAAAGGCAGCGCCATCGCAATCCGGGCCGAGTTGCGAGCTCCGTGGTTGATGTCAACCTCCTCCAAGGTTGTCGAAGTCGAGTGTGTAGAGCACAGATCCAGATGTGGGTGGTTCGGGCACTGGGCGGCCATCGCACCAGCAAAAATCGCGCTGACTGCAAGGAGGTGGCTCAACATGGTGACGGCAGGGTCGCGAGGGCGCAAGCGCTACAAGCTCTGAGTGGGAAAGCACCGGTGTCCACTTTTGGATGAAGGGCACCCGGCATTATTCAAGCGTGTTCAGTGCATAAGTGAACTAAAAGCAGGCCTGTCTCTAGATCAAGCGAGGTCTAGCCAAACTCAGATCCCATGTATCCCCATGTCAACATTTTCCTCCTGAATCCCCCGCAGTGCTCTCAGCTAAGGTTTGACTGCTTCATGCATTCATGGAGAGCTCGACCTAGGCTAGCGTCACATCAAAAACCCCTTCACTGGGACCATAGATCTGCCTTTCTTGTACCCGTACATGCCCGTACATACCGCCTCGCCCCAGAGGGACCTAAGCCCCACCAAGCGGACAAGAAAGAAGATCCCATCTCGGTCCCCACCTCAGGCGCTTCAGAGCCGGGCGAAGGCCTGCAGCGAGTTTTCTTTGCGCGGTTTAGGGCGCTTACTGGCCCTTTCCGATTCCCTACGATGATTCGAAAGTCTACAGCACGCGGATGAACTTCCACAATGCATGGTGGTCCTGGCCCACAGGACTCAGCAACAGCCGTCGACCAAAATCTACGCCACAGGGAGGGCTTTTGGCCTTCTCTTACACCCTCCTCAGTCCCCTGCAACTCGGCGGCATCGTTGGGCGAACTCTCTGCCCTCGCCGAGACAGTCATTGAAACTTATTGGAATCTCCACGTGTCAAGCACGACCTGATGTCGGAAGGCCACCATACAGCCCAGGGCATGCGTACTCTGAGTAGCTACAGATCATCCTATCCAACAGAACCACAAACATCTCGACATGAAATGACAGGATGCTTCAGTGATCAGCTTCTCTGGCATTTCAGTTCTCAATACTTGGAGGTTCATAGCTAATTATAAGTACGGTTAAAAGTACCAACCAGGGTGTGAAGTAGAGTTACCATGCTTGGAACCCTTCTTGTAACTACCCAGATGAACCTCCAAGTAGGCTTGAAATCTGAAGGTGGAAGCCCGCCATGACTCTTACTGCGGGCGCTCCTTCCATGCCTCTGGCGCTTCAATGCCCGCACCTGCACACAAGGTGACGCGAATCGCCTAAACCCTAAACCCTAAACCCTAAACCCTAAACCCTAAACCCTAAACCCTAAACCCTAAAACCCTAAAACCCTAAAACCCTAAAACCGACTTGATGGTCAGCGGAACTGGGCTTCCGAATGGCTTCAAGACCCTCACAACCCACACCTTGCCTCAGCCTCGGCCTGCAGCGCCCGAATGTGCCAGGTCCTGCAAAGGGTCGAGGGGGTTAGGGGGGCGAGGGGTTAAGGGGACCAGGAGCCTTGGGGTTCGGGGCTTGGGGTTTGGGATTTAGGGAGGGCTACTGTCGGTTTGTTGGGGTTTTTTGGTGTCCTTTAGGTCAATCTTTCAGGTCTTCGCGAACGCTTAGGTCTTAAAGGGTTCAGGGCTTCGACCGGTCAACTCCAATACAGTGATTCTCTGCCCTTGCGGGGATGAAGACTTGAAAGCCAATGACCTTCTTCACACCGAAGAATTCTGTAAACGAATTTCTTACAGCTCGATACCCCTCCTGTCCTGCGTTCTTCGTCAATCTCTGACATTGACCGCTGCAGCGACTCCACCTCAGACCTCCAGAGTATTCACGAACATCGTTTTCACAGTTTTGAGACAACATCTCGGATTGCCAGCGTCTGAGGGTTTGCGCTTGGGTTTCGGTAGGTCTCCGGTTTCGGCACCAGGCCGTGAACAATTTGACTGCCACACTAGGTTTAGCTCAATGCTACGCCCGCCCTCCAACACCCCAACTCGAGAGAACTGGAGCACTGTTGAGGGCCAAACTCTTCCTTCATCTCGCTGGCCATCTCTCGAAGACTGACACTTTGCCTAAGCGCCAGAGCAGCTTTGGGCTGAACTAGGCCTGTAGACGCCTTTCGTTGAGGTCTACAAATCTAGGCCTTCTTGCTCCATGTTGAGTACTCACGGACTTATGGCTCGATGTTCAGTGTTCAGGTCATGTTGTCTCTTCTTCTACACCTCGATATGAACGTTTCTTCCAGATCGAGTCCGTCGCACCTCCAGCCCCAAACCAAAAAGCATCGATCGACGAACGTGGGCGCGGAGAAACCCCTCTCTTGCTCTTTGAACGCTTGGGCGCCCGCTCGTCTCCGAATCTGGCATCAAGTTGAGAAAAATTCAGCTCAGCCCAAAACAGCAGCGGGAGCATAAGGATAGCAGAGCTACTCAGATGAGCTGGCTACTACCAGGGATGCGGGAAGATGAAACATTCTGCGCGACGCACACATGAACTCTTCTACATTGCAACTAAATTGTCGCTCAGTCCAACATTGGAACAATGGACACTGCACATTATTTTCCGCATCAGGCAGGTTCAGTCGTTTGCAAGTCTGGGCGAGGGACAGGCAGCCAGGCAACACAGGAGTTGCAAACTCAAGTTCAAGATCTTTCTTTCAGGCCACAAGTCATCCTCTGAAACTCCCTTCCAACATTAATGAGGCCCATCTGTCCTGCCTGGTCGTTCATACATAGCCAGCGAATCAAGCTCACAACTGGATTACCCATGCCAGGCTTTGCAGCAATCCTGGGCTCCATGCCAGGGCAAGGTCGGTATCACCTCACCTGGAGAGCAGCTCGTCGATTGGCAGGCAAGGCGCCTTGGCACTTGGAGTTGAGTGGTCACCAATTGCAAGCGTAGCAGCGCGCCACAAGTTTGGAGTGCGCATGCAAGAGGCAGTCGCAGGCTCTTGGTGACTGGCCGTGCTCGCACTGCTCTCGCACCTTTTGCACCGCAGCGTGCTCCCATGCTCCGGTCACTGCGATTGGACTTCTGGCAGCTTGCTGAACTTCAGCAAACTGGAGGGACGCTAACTGAACGAAGGACCACCATTTCTTGTTCTTAGAAGAATATTGGTCATACCTTTGATGTAGCACACACACATATGCTTGAGCCATGTTCAGGCATCTTGCGATAGCAGACACTGCTTGACGGTTCCACTGTGCATCTCCTGTGCGGTCCCAGTCATCATAGTCAAGCCAGAGCTAACAAACTCTAAGAAGCACTGTCCAGGCACATCGCCATAGTGGACTCATAAGAGGGGCTGCTGCCGTCACACTAAATGGTCAGGACTTCAGCTGACCTTTGCTTGCAAAAACCAAGTCGCACCTGTACGGCGAGAGGGTCATATGCAAGCTGAGTGAATTCTGGATCTTGTTCGGGAGAAGCCAAGTGCATCGAGGCTTTTCTTGACAGCCACAGTTTGCCAGAAGGCTGGCTACACGACATACATCCAGGAGAGTCATGTCCATATACATATATATATATGTATTGTAGTGTAATTATGGTCTAGTTATAATGGAGATGTAGAATAGGTATTCTCTTCCTATCACAGAAATACTCTGCTTTATGTTTTGCCTTGGCTTCAAGCCCGAGAGTGGCAACCAACACTCATCAGAACTCTTGCTCTTCATCGAACTCCACAAGTTCCAGCGCTACCGGCTGGCCAGGAGTGACTCCTCTTGGTCCCGACCGTTTGGGGTTCAAGTCATTTCGGGTCCCAACCAGGCAAAGGTAATGAGGTGTAACAGGGCACACGAATGCATGCAAGTCTGCAGTTAGCTGGGATGACAGTTCCACCGAAGGCCGCTGTCCTTCAGTGAGGTTTTGACAAGCTCAGAGGATATTGATCTATACAGGCCCCAGAAATTGATTAAGCTAGGGAAGACCTTTCCAAACGTGCAACTAGTGTCACCAGCACAACTTGCTTCAAGTCCCATGTCTCGGCTGCAGTGGGGCTCCTACATCCTTCTCTCAATGTCCCATATGCTACGTTCTCCAGAAAGGGACCTGCTTTTGGGCAAAACTCAGCCTGACAAAATGGAATCTATTACCTTTCTGTACAATGCACGTGTGACTCGGACATCGGGAGCCTGTTCCGGAGACCCCCATCACGCTAAGGAGACAGTTGGGCTGGAGGACGAACTCTCCACCTGTCATCGTGGAGCATGAACCCAATGATCCTACTAGCGGTGCCGAGAGTGCCTCAATTGTGCAATCAATTGCCCAGGTCTCTGAAACAGGACACCATGTTTGCGGTTTCTGCGCACATGTCCATCGAGGCCAGATTCTATTGAGTCATCTGACCATGATGGCCAAGGCAACCCCTGCGAGTCGCGGCAATCATGCCCACAACATCATCGAAAATGCTGCAAGAAAGTAACAAGCAGACGTGCCCTGCGCTCGAGCGCCGTGCTAGCCAACTGACCCAATCATTCTCAGAAGTAGGCAATATACTCGAGTCTACACCAAATACATTCCAAATACCCACTACTGTATGAGTAGCAGCTCGCTTTGAGACGCAGGCCTTCCTCACCCCAGCCTGTTCGAAACTCCTTGGCTTGCACATCTGTCCTGCTTTGTTCTCTCTGCTGTGAAGCCTGGATTCTGAATGGATTCTGGATGTTCTGCAAATTCGTACAGCACCTCGCGAAACGGTCCGCAATATGGAAAGCAAGACTGGCCAAGTGCACGCCAAGGCTCCGAAACATCACCTACTTGTGCAGTCAACCGCACGACGCCGCCGTCCACACCGGCAGCTCGCACAGCGATCTCCAAGCTGGGGGTGCAGCTCATGAACGTTGGCAAAACGACCTGATCTTCATCGCCAGCAGTGGTGACATGAAGTTTCCGAGCACATCACAGGGGTACCGTGGTTTTTAAGCTCCGTGCCACATCCCCCTGCTGCAGCTTCGGCTTCCGTTGCCTCAGTGCCTGCATGGTGGTCGAGGTCATCGCACCTGGGTTTCCCGACAGAGATGCTGCAAATCTTGGCGTTGGTCTTTAAGGTAAGCAGTGCCACAACACCAATCTGCCACAACACCAATCACTACACCGCGCCAGCATGTTACTTTATCGGCATTGTAGATGCAGCCATGACTCAATACACAGTTTGATGTTTCTTTCGCTTGTTTAGAGCCTTGATGAGGTGGCCCATGCAAACACACATCTCCATGTCGATCCTCTCAGGATGACGGCGCACCACCCGCGACAGTCTGGAAGAAAAGTTCACATCCCAGGGGACGCTTGAATCTTTCTTCCGCACGTCCATCGTGTACGCCACGAGCGCAAACAGCTCGTCATTCGTCAAGTCAAGAGGTGCAGCCTTTTGGTTCTGTGCCTGCAAGCATGGAATTCAAGACGACAGCGTTCTACATCCTTTGATAACGGAATGTGGCCCCCGTGCCTTGATGACGGTGGCTCTCCTTTTGCATTCCTTGGCTCCCAGAACTCGTGAAGTCAGCAGCCTCTGACATCTCTGACCTTAACAGGCCTGGCAGCCGGATCCTCACCTTTGCCTGGACACCTTTTTAAGCTGAAGCGGACAGCAAAAAGCATCACAACAGATCACAGCACTCCCACAGGTTGAGGCAAGCATCCCCTGCCACAATCTTTGCAAGGTCTTTGTCACGGTGCTCATCTGGAAACCACTGCTGCATCGCTTTCTCTAAATTTGCTGCGCACCTCCCATCTGGGGTATATGGGAGCGTTCGGTCGCTCATGTCTTCGACATCTTCGGCCAAAAGCACGAACCGCTCCAATTTCTCGTCCACGACCTGCCATTCGGAGGACACGCTGGCAAGGCTCTGTGCAAAACTCCTTGCATCGTCGTCAGCCGCGTCCAAGCTCTGTGAAGGATGACTCGTCCTCGCTAGCTCCCTACCTTTGGCTCCACATGCTACGCCCGGGGTGGGGCGCTGGCACCAAGGAAGGCTTTCAAGAAGTGGTTCAGGCAAGCTCTCACTCTTCTCGCCAGCATCGAAGGGCCCAGCAGTCTCGGTGATGTGAGGCGTATCTTGTCCCGGATGGTTGACCTGGGCGTCTGCTTCCGGGATCTGCGTGCTGGTCGCATCTTCGGCCCTGCTGCCTTGCTGAGAAGGTGCTGCAGCCGCCTGGTCCGACTATTTTTCCATAGGACAAGACTGGGCAGCACAAAGAACCTAAGCAATCCTACAGGTGGGGGTCTCCGCTACCATGTTCCCGAGTCAGACTTTGTCCAGCCCTTTGTCCGGCCTCTTCGAAACCAGCCACCATGCCTTGCAAAACGTCTGGCTCAGGCTCGGCACCATCTCTCTCGGATTTTTGAAGGCAGCCCATGCTCTTGCCCATGCGGCTCTTGCGCCAATACTTCTGGAGTATCGTCGCTGCCTGGTCCAAACGGGGATCCGGTTGGGAACCGCTCATCTCATGCGAAGAAGGCAGGACCTGGAAGTACTGCCCTCGGTGTTTCAGGACAACATCTTGACCTGCCACCGCAGCCACCTCGGCCTCTCTGGGCACTTGCAGTATGCAGGGCATCTGCTTTCCGAGGGCTGCACTCATTGCACGCTCAACCTCCGGGTTGCAGTCTCTGGCCAAACCTTCTGCGAAGCGCTGCCACACTCGCTTCAGCACGCACTCGCCCGTGGAGCCCAACTTCTCAGCGGTGACATTCCACAGCTTCTCACTGACCATTTCAAGGTTGCACTCCTCGCAGCAAGTTCTCTAGGGCATCGACGCTACGCCAGTTGGGCCCGCTACGCCTTGCTAAACAACTCCAACAACAAGACAACCAACAAACGCTGACCACCGGGAACTTCTCAACGGAGCCGGTCCTTGGAGTCCTTGCATGACAACAGGGACTCCATGGGAACGAGTCTGACAGCTGAGAGAGACCTCTGCCATGCAGTGCTGCTGTCACGCGAACGGGCCGCAACCTGCGCCTCGTACCTCAGAAGAAGCAGGTTCAGGTGAGCACAAGCCCCCTCTCACAACGAAACGTGCAGGCCAGCAAGCAGCAAGTGTGTGAACATGCTCCACTGGATGCACAGCCGAGTTGCACCTCCAAAAATCTGTCCAGGCAATCTTCCTGTTTGGCATCGCTGCCCTGGAGGCTCCTCCCTTCCTGAATCGAGTCCACGTGAAACCCGCTGCGCTGCAACACCACACCGATTGTTGTGTCGGCAACGAAGGCTTTCACATGATCAGGGACATCAAGATTCGCCTGACACGCCCACCACATGAAGCCAATCACCTCGATGTCGGCGTTCATGAGAACGGGCAGCAAGGTCACTGCCTCTGCGTGGCCGCTGTCTGGTTGGCCATCCCACCAGCCCTTCTCATCACCTTTGACACAGGTCGATATGGTCTCCGCCCTTGCCTGCTCAAGGACCCAACTGGGCAAAGGCTTTAAGCCCTCACGTGGATTCCACACGCTGCCTTGATCCAGCTCCGCTTTTCTGGCCCGCACTTCCCTGAGCATGACTCGAAGTGCTTGCAGAACTGCGACTAGATGTTGTCCTAGAACATCGTCTGTAAGCCCGCGGAGCGGATGGCTGGACGGCACGTCCGGCTGGGCGAGCTGAATCTGCGCATACCAGGTTCGGAGGGGCTCTGACTCCTTTTTCATCAGGTGGTTCACGAAGCCTTTTTCTTCCAACTCGGTAATCGTCTCTCGAAGGATCTCATCCCTTCGTGCCAGCTCCGAGGTGCTTTGCAAACTGGCGGGGGGCGTCCAGCTCTTGCACAAAGCAGTCTGCAGATCGATTGGAGCAGGTGCTTTGAGGACAGAGGAGAAGGAGCTGAATTCCCCGTTCTCTTCTTTCAAAAGCCGCAACAGCTGTGGAAGGGCGGCTGTCGGAACACCCTCGAGGAGATCCACCGCAGCTGGCGGTAGATGTGACATCTGTGCTGCAATCTCCGGCAAGTCTAAGACGGAGGTCGCCTCTGGTGCACCTGGCACACCTGGGCGCCACTGCAAACCCACTCCCAAAGCAGTACAAGGCACTGACCTCTAGACCCGTTGTGACCCGCACCCCCACTTTTTGGCTGTTTGCAGCTGCATCCGGGCGGCTCAGCTGCGAGAGGATGCGGGCCACGACCTCCCGGCACATCTGCAGCTCGACAAGTGGCATCCGTGCCAGCTTGTCTTGAATCTGGCCAGGTGTGCAGATAGCAGCCTAACGAGCTATATACCCCGTACAATCATGGTCCAGCTATATCACCAGCTCATAGCAGCAACAGGCAGTACGCCTTGACCTACAATAGGCATGCAGTATCCATTTGAGCATGCCGACCTCCTCCCTCTTCGCATCGCTGAGGGCCTTGCACTCCTCTCCTTCCTCCTCCTTGGGCGGGGCCTCCTGCTTCGTCTTGAACCTTGGAGTCTAGGAGTTTAGGCTACCACAGTTGCATTCAAAAAGTAGCATCACGTGCAAGAAGAACAACTCAAAAATATCGAAGACATGATGAAGCTCTCAACCCGAACTCAAGAGCCAGATCCTGAACAAGGACCTAGCGACTCTTCCAGTCGTGGGAAGTCCAGCTTCTGAATGCGATGGATCCAAGAGGAGCTCAGGATTTCCAGCTGGGCGCCTTGCCAGTCGATCCTGCCCCAATTACACCGGTGGGTTTTTCATGTTGGGTCGGAGGGTTGGTTGGGGAGGTGTGGCTGCGGCTGCCAAGCTGGTCCTCGGAGCTACCTCGCCTGCGCTGCGCAGGTTGCGCCGCACGGCCCGCTCCAAGGCCCGACTGCTGAGGGTGTCCACCAGCTGTTCCTGGCGCTACGTAGCGAGCAGGCACACTGATGTACATGCTGTCAATCTGATCTTAACATGATAGATCTGCTTGCTTTGAACAGCTCCCTCCTGGAAGAAGAGGTCCGCCAGCCACACGGGAGCGGGCCTGACTGGAAAAAAGAACGCATTGCCCAGCAGAACTGTCATGCTTCATAATGCTGTACCCCGCTTTAGGGGGTTTAAACAAGTTTGCCGGGCAATTCAGAACCGTGTGACCGTTTGGCCGTTTGGAGATCCACAGGGGGGTCCGCAACTAAGTCAGCACCTTTTAAAGTCAATTGCCGGGCCTCGCTGCCCCTGTTAAACTCATATAAACTCCTCCCTTTAAAACCATATAAACCCCATGAGAGAGCAAAAACCAGCTTCGACCGATCAGGGGGCGAACAAACTCCAGCAGGTGCAATCTTCGCCTCGGCTTCCAGCCGAGAAGCGTCTGGAGTCTTCGGAACAAGCAGACCAGGATCTGATCTCCTTCCCCTCTGCCCCTCTGCCCAACCCTTCCCCCGAACCCAAGACTTTCTATGCACGATCTCCCACTTGGAGGTGAGGCCCGTGCCGTGCCTAACCCCCTGCGACCTTTCCTGAGCCGCCTGGGACCCCCGCCCCCGCCCGACCCCCCAGGACCTTTCTCTGGGGGACCCCGATAATGATGCCGGGACCGCAGCCACACAACTCTGCCTGCACCCGTCTCCTCGCACCCTGCTGTGGGCCGGCCCGGCTGCCGAGGCGGCGCGCGCAAGCGTTTACAATTACTGCCGTCAGCTACTTTCTTTGTGTACCGAGTCCAATGATCTCAGCAGCATTTCATCATAATCAGAGAGCAAAAATAGGATCGCAAACCGTCCTGCCCATCTGGGTGGCCCAGTTCACCGCGTGGCCCTTCTGCAGATGGCTCAGGGCCTTCATAGCTGCATCCACAACCTGCAAAGAGTCGACATTCCAAACTCTTCGGCCATTTCAATAAACCCAAGCATATGGCCAATCCCTCAAAATGAAGAGCGTCTGCGCTTTTCAGCGCGAACCTCGTTCCAAGTCCTGCACAGGTACTCCGCCACCAGCTCCGGCTGGCTCTTGGCGCCCGCTTCACTCAAGAAGAACCTGGAGTGAGCTGAAGTTGGGAAGTGGGGATGCATGGAGGAAAGTCAGCGATACATACTGTTGTTTCACTTCACTTCTACATTGCCAGTATACGTCACTACTCTATGTTTGGCTCGAACTACAAGCTCTGATAAGCATGGGGCCATGATTGCCAGCCCTTGCCATGCAATAGCAGGTTTCTGTGCATTCCAGCGACTGAGCAGCAGATCCCATGACTCTGAAGTAATGATGTCTTTCCTGCTTGAAGTATTCCGTTTATCGATCTGATTGTCTTGGGGCCACCGGTGATATATATATATATATATATATATATATATATCTGTGTGTGTAGTACTATATATATTTGTCTATTTAAGGATTTATATATTTCTATATTTATATGTTTGAAATTATTTGAATTTATATTTGTTTTCTTTTTTTATCTATATTTGTTAACGGCCACCGCCGCCGCCCCGCCCCGCCCCGCCAAGCCCCGCCCATCACCCCTCCCCCCAGTATACCCAAGCTCGCCTCAGCGGCAGCTCACGCCCATCGCCGCTTATGTCTTCCAGATACGTCGCTTCTGCTTCCAGGCCAAGCGCTGCACGTCCGGCCTGGTGGGGAGCAAAAGCTGTACGAGTACCAGGTCTGAGAAGTCACAGAGCCACAATGAAGATGAGATCCAAACGGTATGAGGAAACCTACGGGCGACAAATGCAGAGAGTCAACAACTGCGACAGTAAAGGACGGAAGCACCAACAAGTACCTTACGAAGTTGAAGTTGAAGTTTCTTGCCACTGTAGGCGCGCCTGGCATTCGACCGGGATCTGGCCGTGGTTGGCTTCATGGAACTTCTTCCAGCCCTGGATAAAACGCTCAAGTGAGGCGCGGGTAACTTGGCAGTGCCGAGCGTTGCTGCGAGACTCCATCTTGTCGTCCGTCTGCTCTCGCAGCTGCAGCAAAGCGAACAGCGGCTGGTCCAGGCACTTTGCTGGCACCAAGCCGTTCAGACGATCCCCGATCCAGTTCTGTATCTGCACAAAATGGCCGAGAAGAGGCAGGTGAGCAAGCTCTTCCTGACGGTTCACCAGGGCCGCAACGAATGCAAACTCTGGCTCCCAGGGCAATGCTGCAGTGCAGGCTCTGAAGGAGCAGAAGAACTTGTGCAGGTAGCTCAGGGATGCACGGAACTCCTGCAGCCGGACCAGCTGGGCCTGCGCCTTCGAGACACGCAACGCTTCACGCCCCAGCTCCGGGAGCGCAGCGATGAGATCATTGTCGATGATGCTGCGCCAGATCTCCTCGTAAGCTTCGCGGGCGGCAGCTGTCGCAAAAGTGCGATGGAATTCTGGCGGGCGGGCAACTGCCCGCATGCGGAAGTTGCAAAAAAGACGGGTGAAGGCCAAGGAACGATCCTCCTCTGTGAGGCCCTGGCATGAGCACACGCACTCGAAGCAACGCATGGCATAGTTCATGGCAAAGCTGCGGGCCATGTCTGCAAGTGAACTTGCACCACGCACTCTGGGGTTCACCTCTCGCACCTTGTCGAGTGTCAGAATCTGATCAATGGTGTCGCAGTTCTGGGGGAACACAAGCAGTCCAACCGAAAGCATGGCCCAGCTGCAAAAGTTGATCCAGTGCAGGTGGATATTCTGAAGAGGGGCGCGATTTCGGACCCCGTGCCCAACTGGGCGCCCATGGTCGTCCAGCACGCACCCGCAGTCAAAGTGGTATCCCTCCGGCCCTGGGCAAAGCCCGTAGATGAATCCGACAGGGTAGCTATCCTTCAAAGCGAGAGGTTCAAGCAGGAGCACCATCAAGTGGTGGTTGTTCGGCGAGCCCACCACGCACACCAGAAGGTTCACCACAGCATTGCGAAGTCTCTGTGTTTTGCTGTCACTGTCTCCGGCAGCGGCCATGTCCCAGTTGTCTCGTCCTAGCAGCACTGAGGCGACGAGGCTTTGCGAACCTTGCAGCGGCGTGGTATCGCAGAGCAGGGCCACCACCGCGGCCTAGGTGGCACACACCAAGAATAACAATGGCAATTACCATAGCAACTACACAACTACAGCACTGGAAGCATGAAGAGACACAGGTGGAGATCAAAATGAACGGACAAGCGGCTCAGCGCTGCTTTACTGCAAGGAGGAGCTTACGAGGAACTTAGAAATCAGATGCTTGCAGTCAGAAGGCCAGCTTCGCATCCAGGCCAAGTGTTTGGCGCAGAGGACCCGCTGGCTCAGCCAGCAGCGCCTGTGCAAGAGCTGGCTGCGTCTGGTCCCGCTTGAGGAAGGCGCAGGCGCAAGCATTGGCGACGGCATAACGCCGATCCTCGGGAGAAAGGCCCTGCAGGGCGGCCTCGGCACCTTGTGCCGATTGAGGCGAAGCGAAGTCTTGCTCTTGAGCCACCCAAGCGAGGATCGCGGAATATCCGGGAGGTTGCCTTAGAGCTTCATCCATCTGCGGCTGGTATGGCAGCGCTTGACTCCAGTGGAACTCGAGACCACAACCGTGATGATGAGTCACTTGATGGTGCGCATGTGCGCCACATGTCATCACGTCGCAGCCAGCATTCTTCTCGATGGGATTTCGGCATCTCGGGCAGCATCTCGTGTCTGCATTCCGTGCAGTTTGAAGAGTTGCTTGCTCCTCATGCTGTTGAAGCCGCCGCCGTCTCGCCTGTTCGCCTTCGAAGCCTCCGCCAAATGTTAATGTGCTCAGTGATTCTCCTACTTTGAAATTCGCCTAAGTGCGCTTAAAATGGGGAATACATGACCGGTTCTCTTACATAGTCCTACGTCCTGTGCACAGAGCCGTCAGTACACACGACCTACAACAGCAGACCTTGGATCACATTTAGGCCCGAGAAACCAGGCATGCTGGCCACGGGCAGGTCTTCCCAAGGATCCTCACCGGGGCCTGACAGAAGGACACAGAGTCTGACATCAATGTGTGCCAAATCGCTGGGCTACGCAAGGCTTGGGAACTCATCATTACGTAATTACATTGCGTACCTGGTTGTACCGCCTCAAGTCTCGCCCACGCAAACGAAGAAAGAGTTTTGTTGGGGCCTCCTGCTGCATTTTCGGGCTTGGCGAGTGCCGCAGCCCAGGCATGCAGGGTGGTTCCCTCGCGGCCGGACCTTGGCAGCAGCCTTTCCAGTGCCCTGCCTGCTGCTGCTAGGGATCCTGCAGAAGTGACCAGACAATGGAAGAAGAGCAAGGTCTCTGGCTCCGGCTCGTCTGCGCTTCCGCATCCCACAACGTCCAGCAGGACGCTGAGCTCTGCCGGAGTGATCGGCCCGCGGGCGACTTTCTCAGCAACCGCCTCGATGAGGAGATGGTACCGCGCTGCCCGCCGCACAGCCGCGTACACAGTGGCGTCGCCGGCATTTTGCTGCCTTCCCTTCTCCCGACGCAGCTCATCCAGAACGTCCAGCCTGTAGGAGCCGTTGACTTGGTCCAGATCCAGGAGCTTCCGGCCTGTGTCGGTGCGCAGGGCCGCGTACAGCAGGAAGGGCAAGGAGCTTGGGGAGCCAGAGGCGTCTTCTACACTTCCGGACCATTCCACCCAGGCAGTCAGTGGCAATCCGGCACAAGGATGTGCGCCAACCTTCCGAGAGAGCTCCTGGCTCAGAATCTGCAACATCTCTGATTTCCTGCTTGTGTGACCATCGATCACCTCCAGCAGCTGCTGCAGCGCAGAGGCTGCCAGCGCAGGGGTCACGATCTCGTAGCAGCCAAAGAATAGACCATGACTGTCGGCGATGTCTAGTGTGAGGTCGAGGCATTCACGGAAGGCTTCTTTCTGCATTTCCTGCGACCTTCTGATTGGCCAGAACATGCCATCCAGCACTTGCTGGAGAGCAAAGCGTGCGCTCTCCCAGTCAAGTTGCAGCGCCGCACATTGCTCGGCTAGAATCATCAGGCACTGGCGCTTCAGGGTCTTGTCAGGGCTACCGCCCTCCAAGAGTTTCTTGAAGGCATCCAGGCCGTCTGTATGGTCCATGAAGCAAGGAACCAGGTTGCCGAAGAAGGCCAGGTGGTGGAGCCTGCTTTCACTCTCCTCTTTGCCCACAGGGGAAGTACGCGCAGACTCTGAAGCCCTAACAGCCCAACTCTTCTCTTCTTCTTCTTCTTCTTCTTCTTCTTCTCCTTTCTTCTTCTGATCCCAAAAGCTCGATCACTGTCGAAGTGCTGTCGGTAAAAGGCAAGGGTGTCGCGCGCGGTTGTAGTCTTCTAGTTGATTCATTCGCACCAAGAGCTATAGTAGGAAGATCCTTGCCGTGCTTGCAAAATCCTAAAGTATGACCCTCCGCCTCCCTCAACGTCGAAAAACTTCAGTTGCCCCGTTGCAGGGGCTCTCGAAGATACCGAATTTTCAACAACCAGCAGCATCATGTCAGCCATTTGGTCGGCTAACAGCAGTCAGCTTAGGTGAAGCCTGGTCCATTTTCGATTTGCCGGCGTGGCGTGACCCTGAAGGTATCAGGGAGCATAATTGTGGTCTTTTTGGGTACAGGCTGTCTAAGTCCTCATCCATCCTCCTTGCTGGTTTTGCTCCACAAGTTTACCTGTCCCGATCTTGTTTGCTCGAATTCGTGTTTCCGGGCTATCCTCTGATATGAGCTTTGGCACACACCGGTCCAAGCAGCTTTCGCCTTTCGCCTCCCGGGCTTCTCCGAGATCTTTACACGTTACGTTTGTTCTCAGTTTACTACCCACCTCCCAGGACTGTTGTTGAAACCAATTCTTTCTAAGGGCGGGAGGCCTGGAACTGAGTTTCCTGCCGAGGTGTTTGGGAAGGATTCTTCTGCTTCTCTGGTCTTAGGGCCTCCAGAGGGCTCCCCTCTCCCTCTCAGCAGAGTGGCTTCTGCTGCTGTCTCGATGACAGCTTCAGCCGTCCACTCAGCGTGGCACGAGCCATCTCGAATCTGTGGTGCCACCTGTCCAGTTGTTCCCTGCGCTGTGTCTCCGGCAACAAGGCCGCATGCAGCTGCTTCCTGGGCGAGGGCACGATGAGGAAGTGGAAGAGAGGGGCTACTTTATCAGCCAAAGGCCAAGACAGCTGGATGAACCATCACAGCCGAAGATCTCGAGAATCTCTAGCACTGTGGTTGCCAGACCAGCGCTGAAGAGGACCTGCCAACAGGCACCAGGTGGCGCTTCACTGCAAGCCCTGGTCGGGAAAGAACATGAAAACGGAAACGACGGCCAAGTGCCTGGGGGCCCTTGGCAGACGTCTGCTGCGAACGCAACTGCTGCTCAACCTCTTGCGGGACACCGTCCTGGAAAAGGAAACTCAAGGCGCCCAAGTCTGAACGATGACACCTGCCAGCCAGGAACGCTGTCGACAAGGCAGCTGATTTCATGTCTTTGTTCCCGAAAGTCAGCGGCTACTCCTTCTCTCCTGCTTGCTTCAGTCTCGAACTCCAATGACTCGAACACACTGTCGACACTGCACCACCTCATTGGAACCTCTACACTTTAGCCAAGAATCCAAGCGCACGCGTGAAGACCTGGCAGGCTGCACGAGATGCTTTTCAAGCTTTGGTCAGTTAAACGCAAGCAGTGGCGTTCTTCTTTCACTGGAAAGGTTTGGTGCTGCTAGATTATATTCAGTACCACAAGAGTACACAACTCCATAGTTTATGATTAGGATATCACATTGACATGCTGTCAGGTGCTACATGGTGTGGCTTTACTGATCTTGTCTACCAGACGATGGTAGGCTGCGGGAGGATTTGTACAGCACCAACAGCGCCCATAACACCTTCATGATATCACACTCTCTGACCAACGCTTGGGTTGGGTTCAGTACTTGCAGCTTCTTGGTGACTTTGCTTTTCCCAGACAGCAGCGTCCAAAACTGCTTGCTGATGAACTTGCTGTGCTTTGCTACAGGAATTCTACGTGTTGCAGTGACTGGGATGATATGGTTTCAGCGGGCTTGAGAACCATGGCCTGGAAGTTGTTCAGCAGCCTTGCAAGGCTCGGCCCAGGCCCGCAGCAGCGTCGCTGCCACAGAGCCGAAGCCGAAGCATGATGCCACGTAGTCGGAGTAGGCTGCCAGCAGACCTTCGATAGGAGGTGAACAGCCGCAAACACTCCAGGGAGGACTTCGCTTGTTTAGCTGCAAAAGGCAACTTGAAGAGGATCACGGAGGCACCGTTCTACTGTACTGTAGCGATTTCCGAATCCCCGCCGTCCTGAGTTTGCGATGGATTCGGAGAGTGGGTAGCATGGATGCTTCATCCACGATGAAGTTGTCACGGCCACGAGGTCTTGCTCATCACAATCATCGAAGACATCGTCGTTTGCTGAAGCTTCTTCACTGCGCGAGCTACTGCGGCTGCCCACGAGACACCTGAGTGCGCACAATCTTGTTGCAAGACATCTGGCGGGCCGGACGACTGCAGCATGTTCGCCTAGGCCCTGCCGTGTGGCATGAGAGGGTTTTCTATGGGAACGGCCTTCAATCGGTCGAGTTGACTATGGACCCTGTATGGACCAGCTAGGCTCGGACCCTCTCAAAACAATCCTGGGAATCTCGACATGACTCGACCTGTAGGGACCGACCCTCCAAGCCTACAAGCCTTGCGTACCGGGTTGGGCCGAGGCGGGATTGATATCATGAAGACAAGCACGCAGCGATTGTGTGAAGCCATGCCATACAGCAGAATGCAATTGACATGCTGAAGTCAGGATGCTCTTGGAGCTTTCGGAACAGATACGGGAAGCAGGGAAGCATTTGGCCGTGCGGTGCTGGCATGAGAAGAGCATCTGGTGGGCTGATCCCTTCGCTGGCCTCGGCCCAAGTTTAACCATGACATAGGAAAAAGTTGCGCAGGTTGTGTGATCCCCAGCCCTAGCCGTGCCAACCACGCCCAGGTGCGCGTGCCCTCAAGTAGCAAGCCATGGCTTCCTCACCTTGACCGCGCATCTGTGCCAAGCTCATCAAGCCACCTGCGGCTTGGGCAAGAGTGCCCTGTGACAAGAGGTGTCATTACAATAATCACATATTGCAGCTGCTCAAAAAAGCAGCATAGTCCACCTTGATCACAAAGCCAATGGAGAGCTGCAGTCAACGCGGAGACTGCTCTCTCAGCGCACTTGTTGCCTCAAAGGGCAAATTTGCGGGTGTGAGGGAGACTCTACAGAGACAAATCTGGCCATTTGTGCAATCCAGTCTCGGACAGTCGTTTGCAGACAAAGCATAGGTCGCCTGCGCGCATGCCACAGGACGATTCACGACGAGGTCATGCAAGGAAAATGCTACGGCCCACCAGAAAGCCGGACATGGCTACAATTTGCCTGGCGCCAGCAACCAACAGCTTCTTTTCCCGTCAGTGACCGCCCTAACTACTTGGACAGGCGGGGCCTCTGCCGAACGTCCATCTCCATAATCTCCATAGCCGCCGCGATTGCTTCCTTCAAAAATTCGAGTGCATGGCGCATGTCCCTTAAGCCTGTAAACTTCCACATCCCTATAAGGAAGCCTCACGGAGAGAGACATCCTGCAACACGGCAGTGCGAATGCGGTGCAGCTCTTTCAGCAAGGAAGCAGAACCAGGTTCCTCAGATGCCAGTTGTGGCAAGAAGCTCTGGCACGGCATGGTGAGGGTCTGGGCTTCTTGGCCATGTGTGCTAGCAATGCTTGACCATGCCTGTCCATGCCTGCTTGACCAGCTAACGGCTTTCTTCTACCTTTCGGATCCACCTATGTTTCTCAAGCTTAGCATCCGTCAAGTACTTCCACAGCAGGTCCACCCGTGTCTGCAAGGCCTCCCCCGAGTAAAAGCCGCTTGCCTCGTGCGTCCAGCCCTCTGCAGCCAGGCGCATGGGCTCCGACACTGACAGGCGGGCCACACATGCCCAGAGGTCCTCCCAGAGGTCCTTGTGCAGCTCATTCTCGCTCACCGCGCGCTCTTGCTGAGCATGCAGGCTAGGCGACAGGATGGAAGCTACAAGCGCAGGCGATTCTGCGTCGTCCAAGCAGTCCATGTGATAGACTTGCCAGTTGCCTAAGAAAGACGCCACGTAAGAGCGACTTTCGTGCAAGGTTTTCGGCGGCAGGAGCACTGTGACGATCACAGGTGTGTCCTGCTCATCCGCCAGGCGGCGCAACTGATGGATTGTCCGGGCTGTGCATTCCACGTCATCACTGAAGAAGGAAACGCTGCTGGACAAGCGGCAAACAACCATGAGTGGCTTGTCTGCATGTTGCCTCGACCGCAGGAGTTCCAGCGTTTCCTGCCGCGTTCGCGGCATGGGACGAACGTCCACATCGTCCCTTTCGAGATGCACCGTGGAACACTGACCAGATGCGAGCAGCACATCTCGGGTCAGAAGAAGGTAACGCTTCCGCGGCTCGGTTCCAAGCTTTGCAATTAGTGAAGCCAGGCCTGTGTGAGGTCGAGCTGCATAGCCTGCAGGGCGAAAGGCCACAGCTGACAGCTGACAGTGCTCACTGAAAGAAGGCTACTTTCCACCCTTCTGGCCTTCGGCGAGGCTCTCAGGGAGCGACTTGCGATGGCTCAGCACCGTCTCCGAGGGAGCCAGCTGCAGAAGCTTGTGCGCCGCTTCCTCCGCCACCACGGCCACGGCTTCTTGCAGTCGGTCGTCGAAGCGCTTGCCTCGCGTGTGAACGAGTTTGGGAAGGTCAGCTGAAGGAAGTAAAGTGAACGATAGCCTTGCTATGCCAAAGTTGCTTTGTACATCGTGTTCAGGGAGAGAGTCCACCGGCGAGGTGCCCTTGTAACCAACCAGCCTACAGGCGCCAGACAGCACACGCACAGAAATGGACAAAAGAGGTGCTATAGGTCTGACATGTGTAGGCCCTGCTCAGTGTGGAATGTCCGGCCTGTAGACCAGCAGGTACGCCTTCCCAGCTTGGTACTTAGCTTCTTCCGACATGATGTGGGAGCATCGGTCGTTGTCCACAGCTTGCCACCCTCCTCTGGTTTTGAAGTAGGCCACGTAGTGCCCGTGGTCTAAACTACCCGTGTGAACAATGAAAGAGGTCAACTGATAGCACCAGCGTTCCACATGTGAAAGCGCCAAAGTCTCCTGTGATGGAGGCACGAGGGGTAGGATCAGACCTTCCATAGGCACAGAAAGGCTCATGTCGCTCTTCTGCCTCTCAGCGTCCCAGCGCCCAAAGCAGATGGGCAAGATGCTCGGGGGCGCCTTACTGAGCAGCCGGCGCCTCCCACGCAAAGCGGTCGCAACCTTCATCTCCTTCGTCTCGCCCTCCTCTACAATCTCGACTTTGCAGTCGCTGACAGTCTCCATCACGATCTCCTGCAACAAGGTATCAAAACTCTTGTCGGCACCCATGGCTGTCCGCAACACCCACTCGTTCAGGTCGCTGCAAACAAAGACTTTGCTGCATGGGTACTTGTATTGTAGACAGTCAGACTCCTTGGCGCACGTCATTGTGGGCAACTCCAGCTTTGGGCTTTTGCACTCGTCGAGCAAAGCCTCGAACACCCCCACTGCATCTTCCTGCTGGCCTTGTTGAATGATTTTGGCACGCGCAAGCTTCTGTGCCAAGGACCAGACATCCTCGCGCGGCACCCGCTCACGGCGCGACTTCTTCAGAATGTGGCGGAGATCGCTGAGGAAGAGCGGTTCTGCATCGTGCTCCAGGGGCAGTAGGTGCTTCTCGTGCACACACAGGATGGTCAGGCAAGCCTGAAGAAAGCAAGTGTTTCCTGCATTTTCGTGCCCAAAGCACACTGGATCAAGGTCCTCCCATGTGCCTTGTTGCCGTTGCCCTGGGCCAATGTCGCCAGGCCACTCTGCTGCCTCAATGCTCTCTGCCGTGTCTTCCGCAGGGCTCTCCTCCCACCCGGATGACAAGAACTTCAGGGCCGTTGTTCCCCTGGCAGCCTGCAAGGCTTCGTTGATGGCGGTCTCCATAGTGGCATCATCATAACCAATGAGACTTGCGGGGCCGAGCAGCTGAACCAAAGCTTGCAGACGCAGGCGCACGGGTTGCAGCAGGTAATCTCGGAGGAAGCTCTGACTGAGCTGATTGCAGAACCAACGGGCCGTGTGCATCGACAAGTCCTCCGGGCCCACGTAGAACTTCTCAAACCGGTTCAAGAACGGAAGGGGTGTTTGTGCAAGATCCGAAGCCTTTATGCAAACCACGAGTTGGAAGCGAGGATCCACAGGGGCGAGCACGGAGTAGCTACCTGCAGCAACCGTTGCTGCAAAGCTGACGCGGCTGTCGGCTTGAATGCGCTGGAAGCGGAGATTCAAAAGGTCGTAGAAGCCGTCCAGGATCTCGTCGAAGTCAACCATGACGCGCAAGTCTGGGCGCTCAGCTGCTCTTCGGATGTCGCTGATGACTTGGCTTCGATGCAAATCGCTGTGGTCCCCAGGCAAGTCACTGACCTCCAGCACAGGGATGTCAAGCGGGAAGATGCCTGCTGATTGCAGAATGCGCACAGCACCGCCATCCTCTGTCTCATCGATGATGAGCTTGTAGCGACAAGGCTCATAATTGGCATCCTGAAGGTCTGACACCGGGATGTCCTCTAGGGCCTCTTGCAGCACTTCCAGCGTGGTCCGAAGCCAGTTACTCTGGAACTCTGAGATTCTACCTCCGGTCTCTGTCTGCAGATGCCTGAAAAAGACTTTGCAAAGCTCCACAAACTGCTCTCTCTTCAATCCTCCAAAATTCCTCTCCAGAGCGCAGAGGACGCTCTGCCCCGACACGGACCCATTTTGCACGAGGCCCCGTCGTCGCAGGTAGCGCAGGCAGTGATGGAAGTCACGAAGATGGAAGGTGTTGAAGGCTTCGGGGCCTTTTGCCCACCTTCCCTCAGAAATTTCCTGAAAGGCCTTGCAAAAGCCTTCCACGACGGACCGTGAGGCGGGGTCCTCCCGACCGCGACTTACTCCCAGGCATTCTGCTGCGAGGAGTCGCAGGTCTTCACCGTCGGCTTGATCTCGGAAAACCTGCACAGCTTGGAGTCTCTTCGATGAAGTTTTCATGGCTTATCACAGTGCACGTTTGCAGCAGTATACATTTGCATCCTGATGTAAACAATGTAAGCCTGACCAGTAGCCTGACCCGGCCTGCAGACATCTGTTGCGCTTGGCAGCATCAAGCGGCTTGTTTGCCAAGATGCAGCATGCAACTTTTCCTTAGCTGAATTCAAGACTACACCCTGCGTGCATGTACTGTCAAATAGCTCCGTTCTCGAAAACACCATGCAGGACAAGATCCTTGGTCTATCCAGTAGTGGATGGCTTTGAGGCTCTCAATTTTCTCCTCGGGAAGGCCGGCCTCATCAATGAAGACGAATGGGTGCCGTTCGCTCTCCTGGCCATGGGTCCAGCAAAAGCAAGACCGTGAGACCATGAGCCATTATATCAGACTCTAGACAAGTCCTCGATGTCCATGCGCTGCTTTGTCTTCAAGGCGTTCTCAAACACCTGCACCAGCGGTGTAACAGCTGCAACTGGCCACTGCAGGTGGGCTGCGTCGTGCAACAGCATCATAACCAACCCTGCAAACTTTGTGCACGTCTTGACATCAGAATGCTCCACTTCTTTACTTTACAGCTCATTGCCTCGTGAATCTGGCGAGAAGTGCTGTCCTTGGAGCATTGGTAGCGGAAGACCGAGTTGGCCACGTCACAAAACCCGCGGAAGAAGGGCACCGCAGCAGATCCACGCAGCACATCTGTGGCGATGTTCACTGCAAGAGTTTTCCCTGTTCCTGGCATGCCAACAATCATCACAGGGATGTTGCACTGGATGCCGACGATGACAGCGAAGATGTTCTCCTTCAAAGCTCGCGTCAAGGCAATACCTGCTGGCAGCTGAATGTTCTTCATGTAGACGTCCATTTCTTCTGTAAGGACTGTAGGAAGATCTAGACTGTGACAGGTCTCCTCCGCGAAGATCTCTGCGTAGTGACGGGCTGTCACTCTCTCTGTGAATCTCTCTCGTTGGTTCCTATTGAGGCCCAGGTAGAAGGACACTCCAAGGGCCAGAAGCAAAGCGCGAGCTGCGCGGCAGCGTTCGTTGATCTCGGTCACCGCAAAGCTATACTGCCGGAAGAAGCTCAGCAAGCGAACCACACGGATTATGTCTCGCTGTGAAACTGCCGACTCTGACCGTAGCTCAGTCCGCATGAAGTCCTGCGCTTCGGCGATGGCCCTGGCAAAGCGGCACAAGTCCGGATCCTTGCTTCGCCGCAAAAGGCTGAACACGTCTGAACACAGTGTGTGGCAAGCAGCAACGACACTGTTCTGCAGCTTAACATGATGGCAGCTTGAAGGCTGGTTTCGCAGAGGGTCTGCACTTTCCCCGGTTAAAAGGACCACTTTGAAAACAAGGTCTTAGCATATCTTGCAGTAGCAAGCAAAAGCTCAGACAAAGCTCGTGCTCTGCGATGCGGGCCCGTCTGTGGAGGAGAAGCAAGGCATACCTCTCCTCATCGTCAGCATTGGGCGACTTCCAGTTCCAAATGTAGGGTCGGAATGAAGGGGGCAGCGGATGCACCTGCCATCGTGGTATGCCAAGCCCCAAACTAGCTAGCCCCCGATGGGACGAGGTGGCACTGCCACTCAGGGCAAGAAAAGTGCGCCTGGAAGAAATCCCGCATGACGGTGGTGCTACCACGCAGCACAAGATCCGTATCACACCCTTCCTCGCGATAAGGATTTGCTGCCGCAACGATGAAGAGGTTCGCGTACTTGCTCACGAGGAACTTGTCACACAGGATAGCCTTCACAAAGCCCAGGCAGGACCTGCTAGCGATGGCACATTGCTCAGGCTGCTGGAGGAGAGTATCACATTCCAAGCAACGGTCACAGCAGATCTCTCGCTGTCAAGGCATGGCAGAGTACATGCATCTCGTGAGTCCGTCCATTCATAACGGATGGCGGCGAAACCGCCTAAGCTTGCATTCAAGTGGCGCAGTGTTCAGCTCGTCCAGGAAAACAATGACGGTCATGTCAGGCTCACGCTCAGAGGCAGCAAATGCCGGTTGAAGCTGCACCTGGACATGGGCCCAGCGCATAGGCATGCGTATGCCTCTTGCTACCGATCTATGTGATTCTGTGCACGAGAGCTACGTAACACTGCGTATACATAAAGTGACAAGCTGTGCACATGCTGATCCTTTTCGCACTGGCCTCGATATCTGCTGCAGTCAACGCCGCATGGACCTCACAAGCATTGCCCATGGAAACTGGGATCACTGTCGATAGGCCGCGTTGGCTCTTCGTGCAGCTGCAGCCTGCACCCGGAAGAAGATGGGCTCCGGCGGCAGAAGCGTAATGGCGTGCAGGGCAAAGAGAAGGCCTGGGAGCCCGGTGATGGGTAGATCAGCTGCGCCATGCTAAGCCCCAACTGCCCCAAACCAGGAGACAACGAACAAAACAGAACAAGTGAGCACTCATGTGGACTCTGGAACCGCGGCACAGCTTTAGCACTTCGGCACAGCCGCTCGAAGGAAACTCGCAAGCACTTTAGTGGGAAGTGCGAGAAGGAAACTCTGGATCCCACCCAAGCTGAAACACTGACTGCAGCTTTGTAACTTTCTTCAGCCACATCCTCTGCATCCTGCGCGATCTCTTCTGCTTCATCTGCAGCCGAGTCGAAGCTTGGAGGATTCTCTGTGGAAAGGCCAAGTGTTAAGTAAGCGCCTGGGCCCGCCACACTCCTAGCGTGCACACACTTCTGACACACTAGTCATCAGTCAGATCGCGAGTTGAGAGTTGACTGCAGCATGCCGCCCGTGTCCCAAAAGAGCCATTCCATCCGACAACTTCGCCAGGACTGCCTAGCTCCTTCTTGTCAAGAACATTGCGCAAAGCGCTCTCAGCCCTCCCTCACCTGCCTGCTGCATCGCCTTGGGCTCGGTGGAGGACCAACAGAAAGCTGTTTTTCTGACGCTCCACCTCCTTGGCATCGTTGCTGAGGCTCCTGGCAAGAGACGCGCCGAGGCTGCTTGGGTGAAGTTGACTTGTCTCGACTTAGACTGATACCACATTTCCTCCCTCCGCAGTATCAACCATCTTCAGCAAAGAGATAACAACTGGAACAGCACTGGCCGTTAGTTGCCAAAAGGCCTCCACTCATGCTGGCTGCGATGCAGCGCCCTCTGAGCAGCTTCCACCGTGTCTGATTCCGTGTCATCCAGCGGCAGGTGCTGCAGGAGCAGGTGCAACCTGACGATGCTTTGAAGGAACGACGTGCACTAGGGCGCGTTCGAGCTTTATAGATAAAGAGCGCGATACATATACATACTTGTCGCCCCCTCCCCCCATGACATGCGCCTGTCTTGTTCCATCGGCAGGCACGATTACCAACAAAAACAAGCCTTTTCCGATACCGGGCTTCAGACAAGAAGACTTCATTTTAAGTTCTCGTTCGAAAAACCCAAAAATCTCAAAAACCACTCAAACCTTTAGTTGCAAAGCAGGCCCTTGAGGCTAGGGCCCTGGGAGCCCCGAATTTCAGGACAAATCTCAACTTTTGAACTCCTGAACTCTCAAGTTCTAAAAGCTGGGGTGCTTTCAAAAGGGTTGCAAATCAAGGGTTGCCCAGAACCCATTTTGCAAAGGTTCTAAACAAATTCAACTTTTAGGCCCAATCAAAATTCGTGATTCATGTTATCCCAGGGATCTTTAATCTTGAATCTTGGACCCGGCCCAGATGTCGTGCAAGCTCTCTCTCTCTCTCTCGCCTCAACGCGCGCACAATTGTGTTTGGAAAAAGCAGCGGTCCAAATTTTAATTTCGAAGTTCTGTCTGTTTAGCCGCGCTGTGTTCTTTCTACGTCTTTTTGGGCTATTCTCCTTCAATGTTCACCCCTGTTTTGTTTTGAGCGTTATATCATAACTGTATGAGTTGCAAATATTTATATAGGTTAGATTAATGATATTCATTATATCAAGTAACTACATTGGCAATTTTAATTGTGTTATTTACATTTGCTATACTACTTATATTACTTAGATTAAGTGTATAACAGTATACTATAACAGATAGCAATTCGATTTTCCGAAAAATCTAAATTCTGTCGTCTGTAAGGCCTGCGGACCAGACGGCTATTATTGTTTTGGGAGCTTTCTTTGGAAAATTCGAGCCAGCTCGAATCTGGCTCGCTCAAAATTCTTAAGCACGAGGTCGTCAAAACTTGAGCAGGCTCGAAGTTTCAAAGAAACAACAAACGAAACTGTAGGATGTATGGCCAACAGCAGCCTGGTAGATGCCAGAAGCAAAGTTTAGTTTGTTTGAAAATTCAAGCCTGCTCGAGTTTTGGCGACATGGTGCATTGGTTGTTTGAAAGTTCGAGCCGGTTCGATTTTTAGTGGCGTGGTGGTGCGTCAGACTTCTTTGGAAAATTCGATCCTGCTCGTGCTTTCCACGAACACTAAAAACAAAAACGAGACTTTTTTAGTTGTGCGTACCTGATGCTTTGCACATGTCGGCCCTGTCGAAATTTCAACAACTAGACCACAACCCCTCCCCTTTTGAGATCCACCCCTTCCAAGTAGTTTGGCATTTGGTGACAAACCAAGCCACGGAAGGTCGGGAGCATGGGTTTAGGAATTTAGGGGGGTGCAGACTTTCCAAATATGACGCGAGCATTCTGTGGTCAGAGTACGTCATGGAGTCTTGGGCACTTTCTGACACCCTAGTCTGGAAAGCCATACTATAATATGAGCAGCCCAGAAAGGGTCCTCATGAATTACATTGCTTGGAAAGCCGCATGCCCACATCATATCGTGGAGAGCGTCGAACTTCCAAAAGCAGGCGCTGGAGAAGCTCCTTGCGAGTGAAGATGGGCGCCTGATGTCTTGCATGATGGCATGCGGCGAGATATCCAAGCTCATCCAAGCTCCAGCTGGGCACTGGATACATTTAGTAGACTCATGTTGAGCTGAGGCTCTAGAAGCTCCGGAACCTGGTTGTAGAGAGCCGTGTTGGTCAGCATGTCCTGTAAGGTTTAATCAGAGCTCTGTCAGAATTGCCAACCAAGGCATGTTAATCAATTGAGGCAAGAGTGTACTGTCGCAGTAGGCAGAATTCACGCTCCTTCAAGCCTCTTACAGTGAAGCCATCGACGTCTTCGAGGAGCCTCGGTTCTGAGTCTGCAGCTTGTAAGGTTTGTTGGAACTTAAGCCTCTGCCACACGACGTGAGCCACAATCGATGACCTAAGATGACCTACGGATAGGGCGCAGATTGAAGTCAGGGAACGTGTCCAGAATCCCCTCCACAAGGCCAACAGCTCGACTGCGAGGATGGGCGTCCTGAGCATGTTACTTTGCCTGACGTCTGTCTGGATGAAAGCGGCACAGAAGCATGTGTCCTTGAACTCCACCAGCTTGTCCCTCATGAAATTGTACAAGACTTTGGCCAGAGGTGGACGTACTTCGTCACACTCTTGGAGAAGCATCGTCAACATCTCAAGGGCCTTGCAAGAGCTGAAACCGCTATCTGAGTAGGGGATAGTAGGTTCCCTGTCTGTTCAGCCCGTGTGATTTGATGCCTCATGAGCCAAGGCACGCGGGTCTTGCCCGTCCCACTTTCACCCACCAGGACGGTCGCGACACGCGACCTGCGTCGAGCCAGGAGCTCCAGGATCTTGCATGCGAAGTCGCGTGTCAGCACGTAGCCTTCTTCGGCGAAAATCTCCCGAATGCGGTTGTGGTGGATGCCGAAGGCGCAGACCAAAGCCTCGATGCCCTGGCGTTCGTCCTCCTCTGCAGAGGTCAGCAGGCCGGTGCTGAAGATGGGGTCGGCGACCAGCACCTTGTTCGGAACCAGCTCTAGCAACTGAATCCGAACCTGGTTGCAGTCACAGAAAGGCCCATGGCAGCACACGCTTTCATCCGGCTGCAAGGGGTTCTGCACCAAGCTAGGCACGAAAATCACATAGTCCTCCTGGGCATGTTGGGTGTAAGGCACTACCAGGTGCAAGCAAACTTCCTCACCGACCCCGAGCTTTTGGAGGTTGACACCCATGCAGCGCATCAGAAGTGATGCGAGCCCGGCAAACTCCTGGCCATCCGAGCCCCTGAAGGTTTGGGATTTCGTCATCCAGTTGCCCAGTATTGCCACTCGCCGCACCACCAGATCTTCGTGTGCCCGCGTCGGGGCCTCAAGGCCGCACTCTGCTCCAAAGAGCTGCAAGGTGCTGCCCACATCCTCCGGCGGCTGAAAACGCCGCACATCGATGTCGCGAAAGGTCACAGGCGTCCCCCAGATGCTTCCTTGTTCCATCTCTGCGCCCAACCCATCCAGAAGCTCGGCTCCAGGGGGAAGCTGCTCGCCCATCTCCCGAAGGCAATCCAGCAGCTCCAAATCTCGCGGCCGGACATCCAGCCTTTGATCAGGCGAGACATGAACCCCCGTCACGGACACACATCAGCACACAAACCTGATTGACATATTCTTATCACTGAGTATGGCCACATTAATTCGTCCGGATGGCAGGCGTCGAGACTCCTCCAGGGGATGAGGTTGCAAGGAGGCCTGCATGAGTCCGAAAGGTAGGGCAGTGGCCTGCCGCACTCGAAAGCCGTGGCTGGGATCGTGCTCGTGCACGGCGTAGCAAGCCGCACAAAGGTCAACGTCGAGGCAAACCTGGCACGTGTAGCATGCTCCCCGGACAGGCATCGCTCCGCAGGAACTGCAAACAACCCGCGCATGGACCTGCTCTTCAAGGAGATCATGAGGATTGGGTAAGTAATGGAGCTCTCCACGTTGGAGCGGGAACCCCGAGACCTCAAAGGACACGTCTCGCCCAACAATTTCCAGAATTGGATAGAGAAGAGACAGCGTGAGCTGGATCCCATCCTTATGCTCCTGCGGAAACCGCGCTTGCATCGTCTCTTCTGTGGCGTACTGCCTCAGGGAGTGAAGATCCCTCTTTCCAGCAATTGCTCCAATCTCCACGTGAATGCGCGTGCCATCAGGAAGTGAGGCCATCTGCCCTGAGGCAGGATCGAACAGGACTTGGCAGAGCAACAGATGTCTGAGGAATGCATTGCTAAGTTCCCAGTCACTGTATGCGTTGACTTCGACGTGCAATGCAATTCGACGGCCGGCAAGGCAACATTCCAGGATCTGCCTCCGAGACTCTGCAATGAACTGACTGAGCTGAAATCCTTCGTGCAGCATGCAACTGACCAACTCCTCGTTGTTCAGCTCACACCGGTGACGGATGTACGTACTCTTTCCAGAGGAAGGACCAGTGCCTTGCTCTGTACGGTAGATCAAGACCTCGGCTGGACATTGATCTTGCCAGATCTGAACGGCCTGGTCTGGGCGAACTTGCATCTCACGCACGCGCGCAGATGCAGGAATGTACCAAGAAGATGTCAGGATCATCCCAAGTGATGAGTTTCGCTCCCCGACGTCCTCGCTTGCCAGCCACTCAGCGATGCGCTTCTTGCCCTCCGCTGGCAGACGATTTGGTTCGACGAGGACAAAGAGCAGCTGTGGAAACCTCTGCGATCTCCAAAGGAATGCTTGAACCTCATCCACAGAGACCCGATCATCGCAAAAGAGAACTTCAGACGGTCGAGGGAGCCGGTTTGGACCCCCTTCCATGGCAAGAAAAAGGTGCGCACATTTCTTCAGCGCATCATCACTGTCCTTTGCCTGCACCTTGAAGCGCCCAGGTCCAGGCCGAGGTACCTGGCCCAGAGCACCCGGCAGAGCCACCTCCAGGTCCTCACAGCAGACGCACAGTGCTGCCAAGCTAGCACTGGCATCGAGGGCCTGGCTGAAGGGGATGCTTGAGTTCAGCAACTTCATGTCGAAGCCTTCTGAGGTGCCGAGGGTCCAGATGCTAAGCCCTTCGACCATGGAGCCCAACACTTCCGGTGTGAGGCCATCGGTATGAACCTGGGCTAGCCAGGCATGCAGCTGGCTCTGAGGCACCAGGCCCAGTAGAGGTGCAGCCTCCAAGGTGCTCCGAACCTCCTCCTTCCAGCTGCCCAGGGTCTCCAGCTGCGCTTGGGCCTCCATGGCAAGGTTGGCGGCCATGGAAATCTCAACGTCGCGCCGGAACTTGGGATGTCCCGCCTTGTGAAGTTGTGCGGCGGTGGCCACCAGCCCGGTGTCGTTGGCCACAATCTCCCGCACCTTCTCCAGAAAGGCCTGCAGCAGATCGAACTTGTCACGTTGCTCCTTCAAGCCCTCCAGGCTCATCAAGCTGCGCGTGGAATACTCCTTCAAGTTGGTGGACGACACGGTCACAGCGCGCTCTTCACCTGCCACTCTGTATGAGTACCGGCAGTAGAATTCCTCACAGTAGCCCTGCAACACAAGATGCCCTGTGAGAATCTGGTCGACAGACCAAAGGAGCAGCTTGCTGCCCTGCCCTCCATGCCGGCCCACATCCGCAAAGAGGCTGCTGATGAGCTTGATCTGTGCTGCGACAGTGGCGAAGGACTCCATGCGAGGTCGGGGTCTGCACTGGCTTAGTCCCCTCAGAAGCTCCACAAGCATGTTGCTGCTGACAGGTTCGCTTTCCGGCTTCCTCGCCGCCAAGAACCCAGAGAGCACTGTTGCACAATGTTGAAGCTCTTCCAGCAGCGCTTGCCGAACCTTGTGGGCAAGAGTCAGGGGACAGACCTGCCTACCAACACCTGATGCCTCACAGCAGCACATGCAGTAGCAGGGAGTCAAGGGACTGCGACTTCTTCCTCCAGGAACTGCCGGACGAGGACGACTTTCTGGTTGAACTGCTGCAAGCAATCTGGCCCGCTGAAGCCCTGCTCCACTAAGAACTCAAACACGCAGGCGTGCTGCGAGAGGGACTGGAAGATGTGGAGGCCACTGGCATCTTCAAACTCGAGCCCACAGCGTCGGAACTCTTGCAATCGAAGGGCATCTGCCTCGATGTTCACGACGGCACTTGTGAGGATTGAGTCTGACAGAAGGAGTAGTTGCTGGAAAATCTCGGACTGAACAGCCCAATCCAGTCCCATGTGCCACAACGCCCGCTGCACGTCCGGCACGTGCCCAGCCATCACGTGTGCGCTGAAGGCATCTGTCAGCATTTGACGCCGAGCTTCCAATTTGGAGCCCCGGCCCTTTTGAAAGACCCCGCGGATTCTGGACATGAGACCAGGCGGCACGTCGCCATCTTGCTTTTCTCCAGGATCACACCCGAAGAACTCCAGGAGCAAGTTGATCTCCCGTTCCATTGCGACCTTCGGCTTCCCGAACTCCTTCACTACCAAACGCCAGACCTCGGCGTCCACATCCCCAGGGCTACTTTCCGTAGGGCCAAGTGCCAACGTCCGCACTTCTTCGTGGCAGAGCTTTACAACCTGTCTGAAGTCCTCGAACTCCCACCGGGCCTCGCAGACGACCATTTGCCCTTGAGCGTCTGCGAAGACTTGGGCAAAGTGCTGGAGGAGAGGGTTTACCAGCGCCGACCCCGCTCGCATAAAGTGCTGCAAGAAATCGATGGTCTCTTGACCATTGTCGGACTGGCTGAAGCCTTTGAAGACATCGCAGGTAGCTTGCACGAGGCTTTGAAGCTCGACCAGAGTGCGATCATCACTCTTGGCCATCTGCTGCTTCAGCCTGTTACGGTCCCGCTCGAGCTCTTGAAACTGATAAGTATCCACCAGCCACTCCAACAACTGGAGCTGACGTTGCAGCTCCAGGCGGAGATCCTCCAGCTTCTGTGCCAGCTCGGCCACCTCCTCCACAAATCTCATGGTGGGTTCGACGCACAGTGCGTCAATGTTATCCATGAGGTTCAAGAGGTTCTGCTTTGGGAAGTGGCCCTCTGAAGCATGCACAAGCTGCGTGTAGGCGCAGTTTGGCAGGTGGCCCGACAATGCCACACGCCGCAGCTGCCTGAAGAAGTGCAACTTGTCAGGCCTAAGGCCTAGTTCCTTGAACACCTCTTTCCAGACATTCCAGGCATGCCCTAAGAGAATTTAGTTGGCTAAGCGGCTTAGCTACATGATTTTAATTCTTGTTCTGCGTTTTGTTTTCTCTGAACAGCCGCACCTGAAGAACTGCAGGCCTTGCGGCACTTCAGAACCTTCCAGGCAGCCAAAAACGTCCAGCAACAAGCGCAATCGAGGCCAAGGCTTCTCCTGGATTGCTTGCCACTCCAAAGCCCAGTCATGGCCATCCGGCACATGTTGAAGGAAGTGGTGGATGAAGGCAGAGTTAGACTTCAGGCGCTGAAGCACGAACTCAGGCCGGGAAAGCTGATGCTCGGCACCAAGCCACTTAAAGAATGCCTCCTCTCGCTCGGAATCTGGAGGCACGTCCGACAACTCTGGCACCCAGCAGCGCAAGAACGTCTCACATACCCAGTGCGGCCTGCTGCTGGGCTCCGATGAACCTTGGCCGTCTATGATATGCAGACATGGCCTTTTCTTGTGTTCTGTGAAAGATCGTCTTTAATCCTGTGTAGCATAGCTACTCACAACAGGCCAAACAGACAAGGCAAGCGAATTGAGGAAAGAGACCCACAAAGCAAATTTCCAGCCCGAGCTAAACCAATTTCAATGAATCAACCTCCCTACAGCGGCTGAATCGGGCTTCATAAGATGCGTTGCGCATAGTCTCTACAAGATCATAAAGCATGACTTGAGTCTGGCCGACAGCAGTTGTATGGGCAGGCAACGGTGTGATTTCGCTCGGCTTTTACTTTGTTTACGAGCCTGGTAGTCCGATCTAGCGCGTGACAAGCGTTTGTGTTACAACACTTTGATGCATCCCAGTGGCAGAGTTCAGAAACCTCAATGCTCCATTTCTCGGCCCGCCCGATGGCCTCTTCAGCATCGTGCTTTGTCTCCTGCCGCAAGCTGCTGAGCAAATGACATTGTCTCGGGTTGCTTCTCAATGCAAGCCCAGTGGCATCTGCAAGGACAGTATCGGGGCAGCTCACCAGCAAGCGGTACACGTCTTTGATATTGACCCTGGGCAAATCAAAGAAAAACTGTCACTGCACCACTCACAGGTGGCCACAACATGTCAGGCCCAGCCCTCGCCTCAAAGATTGCAGCGCAAGCTTTAAGAGATCAGCATGACGCTTTGCCCCAGAGTACTGCAAGAGTACCCCACTCCACTTTTCCAGCTCCAGCCGGCCATGGCTTCTGTTGAGGATGTGGACGAGATGAATGCTGGCACCGCAGCGCACCTCCTTGTTAATCCACTCATGCTGGGCCAAGACAAGAAGAATGTTCTCGGTCGCGTTCGGGAATGTAGTGCATGCAGCCGTGAGCGCATTTGCCAGAGCAGCTTGAAGCTTCAACTGCTGGACAAAATCATCGCTTGAACTGGCCGCTTTGACAATGTCCCAGTCACGTCCATGATCGAAGACTGCCCGCCACACGGCCTGCAGGAAGAACAGCGTTTCACGGCCTGTCCACGACCGCTCCAACTGAGTGCAGACTGCCCACGTCAGCACATTTTGCAGATCATTAGATTGAAAGTGCTTCGCTTCAAGAAGTGGCCATAGCACATGGTCGACAAACCCCCGTCCCGCATCCTCAGACGATTTCAGAAGCAAGGATAGCATGCGACGGGAGGTCATAACTTGGTCTGCCCTCAAAGCAGTCAAGCATCGTTTTGATCACGAGGAAGGATGCATTGCTTGAAGCAGTCCATCGTTTCGAGGAGGCAGAAGACAACCCGGCTGAACAGCTCCGTTCTGTTGGCACCTCTCACATGTTCCAAGCGCATGGGACGTGAGCTGAGCTGTACTTGCTTGATCATATCCTAGCTTTCGATGTTCTTATATTGGCTGACTTCAGCTCACGGCCTTCGCAGCACTCCTCTGCCAGACTCAAGATGTCCTCACAGTAGCCATCACTTTCGGGAAACGCGCTGTTCACCTTCGGCAGGCATTCCTTGGTTCCAGCATGGTGACTCGGCCAAGGTGCGCCAGAGAAATATGAAGAAACCCGCACTCGAGTTGAATCCAAGAGTCAGCCAAACGCTTGGCCGCGAGCTCTTCATCGCAAGCACTGGTTGCAGCTATGCCCATATAAGCAGTTACTTCCATGCTGAAGCTGTTCCTATCCCCAGCCTGATTGGCACTGGAGGTCAGCAAGTACTCCAAATTGAAAAACTTGCTTTCCTTCTCCGTCAGAGGCAGCACTCGGTGCAATCTCACGGAGATGGCAGCTGACATTTCCAGTAAACGTGCATATGGCAGCTCTTTGGCATCCTTCTCCTCTCGCTCTGCTAAAGCATACAGCTGCGCCAACAAGTTGTGGAGATTCACTTCTCCAAGAAAGTCCAAGCAAGCTTGGATCTTGCCTTGTGAGGCACGTAACATCGTGTTGAATGTGTCGCGACAGTTCTTCAAAGCCACCTGATGGAGTGGTGTGTGCAAGTATGGTCGACTCACATACGGCCATCGCTGGAAAAGGCACCTGATGAAGTGCGTGGCGACGACAAGGCGAGGGCATCTCTTGGGGTCATGTTCACTTGCCGTGCGGATCATGCCGGTAAGGGCATCTGCGACATCTTGCATCAATGCATCAAACAGCGGATTGGCATGTCTCTTGTGCACTTCAAAGCGCTCATTGAACCCATCCACCCAGTCAAAGATCTTGTGCACTGCCTCCGTGCATGTCGTCAACATGCTGTCGCTGAGGTGCGTTGTTGTGCTTGTCGCAAACGTCATGATTCCTTTCAAGCTGTCGGCCCATGCACTTTTGGCACGAAGCTCGCGCATCAGAACGGGCCCTCCGGCATAATCACAGACTGATTTCGCAGTTCTCTGATCTTCGGCATGGCGTTGATAGATGCCCCTGAGTTTGCAATCTACATTCAGCCAGAGGAAAATGCATCCAGCTTTCTGTCCGTTTTGAGACACTTGGACAGACCAAGCCCAAGGATTGGTTGGATCCGGGCACAGCTGCCCTTTCCCCACCTTGCCCGACATCAGCTTCTGCTCAAACTTTCCGTCATCTGAAATCTCGTAAGTGTTGGTCGTGGAGTTCCATTTGCCTGATGGAAACGGTAGCGTTCCATGCCGTGCTTCATCCAGCAAGTCGCGGATCACATCGTCAGAAGCCGCCATTCTGCACTGCAGCCTGGCAGGTCAAAGGCTATGTTAAGCATGGGCAGGTGACATGATGAAATCTAAATAGCAATGCTGGAACAGTCCTAGAAATACCATCCAGTGCCACGCATGTCGTGTGAAGCAAGTTCTGCAGGCTTGCGCACAGGACATGGAACGACCAAGCACTTCAAGCAATTGGCATGCCAGGTTGGGACATTTCTGAACCTACCGTCTCTAAAGAAGTGCAGGAACACCAGGAATAACGACATGGATGGTCTGCAACCCCTACTGTACCCGACGCTAAGTGGTTCGTTAGTGGCAGCAGACCTATATGTTTCACACCACACATGCGAATGGTAGAGCTCCAAACGCCAGCACGAGCAGCAAAATCTATCAAATAACGGGCATGGCGACGGATGCTGCGCCTCTGGGATTTCCTCCGCGAACAATGATGGGCTGAAACGTCAATGAACCACGCTAAACAGCTGCAGCAAAGAGGCTCGGCTCGTTGACATCTCAAGTTGTTGGCCAAGCAACATGCTCAATACTCGCAGCTTGCTAAATGACAGTTGCGGATACGCAAGTACCCAACACCAAGCATGACGGAACAGCTGTAAAGCTACTCATGTTGCTAATGAAAACAGCAAACACCAGAACTGGAACCTGTAAGCTCCGGCACAAGAACATCGAGGAATTCCATCTGCATAAGGCCAACAAGCAACATTGCGATTCACTTCATTTCGCTGACATACCCCAATGTTGAACGTGGCTGTTGCGACATATATAAACCTTTCTCACGGCTTCCATGCTCCCGGGCACTGACATCGAAGTCAGTAACATGACGACCAAAGCTTCCCGAAGCGAAGATCCCCATTTGGGATTTGAAATACAGGCATGACTGAGCCCCACTCCCAGCAAGCCGTGCTGCCACGGCCGCGCAGACAAAGTTGCCAGCTTTCGAGATGGCCTGGCTCGCCCATGTCCACGTTGTGTCGACGTGTTAAGAGCCCCTCCGAAGCTCCAGCTAAGCAAATACTCCACCACCTAAAAAATGCTGACATAAGTTTCCGCGTCTGGGATTACTTACGCTGTCACAAGAACAGGCAAATGACATTCAAGGGCGCCTCACCGTTGTTCAGCAGGCCTCTCGCTGATTGCAGCTGCGAATTTGCCTCGTCTCTCGGGATCAAGCCCGGCTTCAAGAAAATCAATGCTCGCAGAGAGAACAGCATCCGCCGCATAAAGCGAATATTCGCATCGAGAACGAAGCACGCGGGCGATACTAATCAACATACAGCATCGGGTTACAAAGGAACTTGAAAGAAGCATGCATGGGAAAGCCAACGAACTAACGCTAGTCCCAACACTCCTGAGGAGGCAACGCAGCGCTGTGGCAATCCGCCGCTGGCCTGCCGCAGGCTGTACTACTGACAAACGTGTTCAGATAGCCTCAGTTGAACTCCAACCGCATGTCAGGACGCTTTGAGATAGCTACATGGGTTGGCAGTCTTGAATTCAAGGCCTCGCAGGGTGCTCAGTTTAGCACCATCTCGGCCATGCGCACGGCCAACTCACGCATGTAGGCGAGGTCCTCCTCTGTCATGCCTGCCGCGCCAGCAGCTGAAACACGGGCAGCCCCACCCTGAGTACGTCCTGTCCCTTGTTTACCAACCCGGGCATAGCTGTTTTTCTGAAACGCAGCTAGACCTACTCCAGACTGCGCAGTCAACTTCGAAAAGGTGCAAGTAGCTTGTTCACGCACTCTAGACTCTGTGGCCTCGGGAGCTGGTCTCAGAGCTGGTTGGCGAAACTCACCGTGAAGTCTGATGCTTGAGCCGGCTAGGCACGGAGACAGGGCCCCCGAGAGGACAGAGACAGCGACAACCCTGCCCATCTCCTCCACCATCCCCCCACATCTGGCAACATTGCGGAATCCGCACAAGACAGGCTTGCGCAACGTCGCCGACAAGCCACCCAAAACTGGCCCAAAACTCATAAAGCAGAGGACTGTCCAGATCGCAAGACACCTGGGATGGACGCTCTCGTGAAGCACTTTGCTAGCAGACGGTACAGAGCTTTTCCTGATCTGAGCCGCTCGCGAATCCTGCAGAAACTACAGGACACACTGAGCAGACCGAAGTAAGCATTATCCGAGTCAGAATCAGAGACGTGCATTGGACACCCATATCACTTGTGCCGGCCATTCTGCCTATGATAGCCATCTTCCACACCAGAAGCTTCCACCAAGAAGCCAGGCACGAGTCTGGGCTCAACTTGGGCAATTCTGAACAAGCAACTTCACGCCGTAGACTTGCAAAGGCAGCTTCCGGCAGTGAAGGTTGCCTCGTCTGGCCCGCCATTTTTCTCAAACAATCGGAGTCAAGCTCATCATCAACCGAAACAGCTTTGCCCGTTTGTCTTCAACACTTGAACTAGAGAGCATGCACTTGGCTCCACGGCAAGGACTGCCAGGTCACAACATACACTACTCATACACTCCGCGACGTTTTCGCGCCCCTCACGGGCGGCCGCACCCATACGTGGTCGTGGCAAGCGACCTGACAGATATGGCGTGTCGAGGCAACAGCGAAGCCGACAAATTGACTGGTGCAAGACAGCAGATGCTATCACTCGACAGAGTTGCTAGCTGGACCTCCGTCTTCACCTCCTGCCTGTGCCAACGCACACCAACACCCAAGAGCCAGCTCTTAGAACGCTGCCGTGAAGCCACGGCGTTGCCTGCAAGTGATGAACTCAAAATTGCTTTGCACCGACAGCGTTTCTTTCACAGTCTGCACATTTGACAGTACAGGCTTCGTGGGCTGCTGTTTTGCTGTTGCTTGGCCTGCCATCGGCTCAAGGATCTCTTGCGCTTGCGGGGCCTCGGCTCGCCGCTGACGCTCATCACTCTACGTGCTGAGGAGTCTTGAACTCTTTGGTCGACTTTGGCATATTTCCCCTCCCCCTCCTCTATGAGTTCTCACTCCCTCAAACAAGAAAGAGGCCCAGGCTGGCGAGCCCAAGCGCCGGCGTAGCTCCCCGAGACGACCTGCTTTGTCTGCAGGGAGAGTTCTTCTAAATCAGGGTCCCTTTTGTAGGGCCCCTATTATCACGCGGGCCGCGGGCCCCTCGTACTTTGGGTATTCAGGAAGGGATAACAATCTAGAGAATTGCCAATGTGGGGGAGTCGATCTACATCGGGGCCCCGTCAAGAACCATCTGGAAAATTTCGTCAGCTTCGCTACAGTAAGGACGAGATGCACACAGAGATTGACAGAAGTAAGGCTTACACTTAGGCATTTGGAGACTTAAGTCTACACCTCGTGAAGGCAGTTGCTGAGGCACAAATGTTCATCAATACGCCCTATGTGTTGATGTATGGTATGTTTATGCAGAAGATGCGAAGTTTCTATTCCAAGCGTTTCTTTTGACAAGGAATCCCTGCTGTTTTTCAGGGTCCGAGTTGAACTAATTTTCATCTATGCACATCTATGAACTGCGCGCGCAACCTCACCTACTGTCTACTTGCAGCTCGGAGGGAGGTTCATGTCTAGTTCAGCGTTTCCTACCTTTTGTAGTTTCTTGCGGCGCCGGCATGTTTCATCCTAGAACTACCCCCCAATACACTCATTTGCACGTACACCCCCCCCCCCCCCCCCCCCGACTTGTCATTTTCGACACCAGTAAAAAGGACTGCTCCCAGCGCTCTGAGCGTGGCTTCCTGGGGCCTCGCGCTGAAGGCGCTCGGGAGGTCACTGGAGAGCGCCGGTCCAGGGCGGTCCTTGTTTTGGGTTTGGCTCAGGGATCGGGGTTTAAGTTTAGGGTTGAAGTGGGGGCTTAAGTGGTTAAGGTCTAAGTTGGGCTTTGTGGGACTCTTTAGGGCTTTGTTGCAGTCAATGATTTTGGGGGAGAGGCAGCCTCCGCACGCCTCGCCTTCGCTGGCGCTCTGTTGAGGGCCGGGCAGGCGAAGATTGCAGAGACCTCAGCGCCCACCATACGGCTTAGGTTCAGGGCCTTGCTGGTAGGGCTGGTGGGGCCGAAGAGCGTGCATCTTGACTCTGCAGCATTCATCTCGACCCCACCCCGCCACCCTAAACCCTGAACCCTAAACCCTAAACCCTGAACCCTGAACCCTAAACCCTAAACCCTAAACCCTAAACCCTAAACCCTGAACCCTGAACCCTGAACCCCTAAGGCGCCGGCCTTGCGCAGGCCTGTGCGGCCTCCTGGGACACGGGCTCCTCGGGGCTCCTCCAAGCGGGTTGAGGGACAAGATGGGCTTCGGGCCGTTTGGAGGATCCGACATTCAGGGTTTAGGGTTTAGGGTTTAGGGTTTAGGGTTTAGGGTTTAGGGTTTAGGGTTTAGGGTTTAGGGTGGAGTTTCAAACTCCCGGCTGGTGCCTAGTGATGAACATCTCCTCCAACAGCAACATTCATGTTCACCCCCAACTTTGGAGCCCCAACCGCGCCACATGGCAAGAAGAGAGGGAAGCCGCTGAGTTATGACAGTATTGCATTTCATAGGAGGTTTGCGGGGCTTCGGGGCGAAAACTTTAGGACTCTGAGTCCTGCTCACAACAGGCTCCATGGAGAAGGTGAGCGCGCCTCTGGCAAACAATGCAGCTTGGAGATGCACACTTCGGGTCTGTTGCACTGGTGGCCTCTACTTTCGCGGACTGCGCTCTACTCGCTTGCCTCCCCACAAGCACACCTTCCCCATGCTGGCGTACCCTGTATACTCGAAGATCGATTCCCCAGCCCTTGATTATCCCTGAGAACGTGTCGTGTCAAACGCCATCCTTGCAAACTCCCCGGCCGTGCCTGCGGGTCGGTCCTTGGTCACTCATTGAAACTCATCACGTGCGGCTTCTGTGGCAGATGGTGGGGCGTGTTGGGCTAGCAGGCGAAGTGAACATCTGCCGGTGAACTCATTGCGTGCAATGGTGCTGGGGTGGCCGGAATGGCAAGACGGACTTTGGCAGCAGCTGATGGAAGAAGGGTGGCGACGGCAACTGGAGGCTGTCGTCGTCGCGCTACCACTGCCAACTTCCCTTTATCACATACCGCTCAGGGGTCGAGCGAAAAATCGGAGGAAGTCCAAGCAATAGTGCTCCGAACGTCTTCCAGCCCCATGCTTGCCCTGATCATTCCAGCAGCCCTAACAATCCATGCAAACCCATAAGCCTAAACCCTAACCCTGAAAACCCTAAACCCTAAACCCTAAACCCTAAACCCTAAACCCTAAACCCTAAACCCTAAACCCTAAACCCTAAACCCTAAACCCTAAACCCTACTCAACCTGCACAAGAAACATGTTGGTCCGAGCGTCGGCGAGGAGGTGCGACCGCAGAGCCGGAGGGGGGCTGCCATCTTGCATCCTGGTGAGGCAGTCCGGCCAAGTACTTAGATGGGTGGTTTCCGAAAAAAGGGTACCGTATGGGTCCTGATTATGAGGGAATCCGATTATTTGGGGATCCCCTACTTTCGTAAACCCCCAGATTGGATTCTGTACACTGGCCCGGGGTGGCTGGGACAAGGCAACCCCAGACAAGATAAGGCTGGATTGAGCGGTGTAGATCCCGGTAGATGCAACGATCGACAGCTAGAGACAGATTGCTTTGATCTGATGGCTCATGGAACTGCACGAGACACATGTCGGCGGAATGCTGTGCAACTTCAGTCCTCCTGGCACGCCGGGGCGATGGAACTTGCTTCCTGGTGAGCTTGAGGGCTCTGCTTCGCAGATGGAAGGTTTTCTCATTGAAGCTAAGGTTTCAAATTCGTGGTTCAGGCTTCCTTTCGACTTCATCGGCTTGGTTGGCTTGAATGGTGTGGTAGAAACCTTTAAGCCTTGAAGTGGGCTGTCCCTATGACAAGACCACCTCTTGCTCAAGAACCTGCCACAGCCCATCTGGGCCTTGCTAAGCCGTCTGCAGCTGAGGTCCTGACACTTCGACATCTCTGGAGTTGCCCACGGTCCGAATCTCCTTGGTGCTTGGCAAGTGCTTGTACCATCCCTGATTCTCCCACCAAATCCAGCCTCTTATGGATGAAGCCATGGTCAAGAATGCTGACCGAAAAGATGCTCTGCAGCCTACAATGGCCTACAACGTCCAACTCGGGATGCCAGGAGGGTACCAAACATGTTGACAACCGTCGGCAGTCGGAATGCCGGTATCCCAATGTGCTGTCCAAGGGTCCGCGCGGAGATCGTTCAGGCTTTGTGCCGTATCTGCGCCTTGCACTGACAGGGCTTCTTGCCTCGCAGCGTCCGGGACGAGCAGCGCGCAACACAGCACACTAGGGCTCGGCCTTGTTACGTCTAGCTTTCGCTGGACTCCTTTGCCTTCTGGATGCACCGGTGAAGCTCTGAATCGAATCTTCAGAGGTCACAAAGACCCAGTTTCACCAACCCCAGACCTTATGGAAACTGCCGACGCCAGACCCTCAGCTCCCTAGACATCCCCGGACACACCCTGAAGTTCCGAAAGCCATTGAAGGCAGATCGCAGCTTGGCTGTCAAGCCCGAAACCCTAAACCCTAAACCCTAAACCCTAAACATCCCTAAATACTAAACCCTAAACCTCCTCAACTTCTGGGCCCCCGTGCCCGGCACACAGCTCCTCCGTGGTCACCAGGAGCCGCTCGAAGTGGCTGCCCAGCTCCGCCTGAAGTGGTTCGAGGGTTTAGGGTTTGGGGTTTGGGGTTCAGCACAAGTCAAGCATTCACTAGTCAAGAAATTACTCCAGAAAAATACCCACCCGGCCAAAGAATCCCACAACATTAAGAAAATATTTCACTTATGGCTAGACCCTAAACCCTAAACCCTACTGTTTTTCGGGTTCAGGGTTTAGGTGGCGGCTCAGGGGTTTCAGGCGACACTCGGCTGACTCATGGGTGCTGATGAACAACACTTGGGATGTTCCCCCACTTTCTTATAATCCCTATTGAGGTATAAGGGGGAAACAACCATTAGGGTTTAGGGTTTAGGGTTTAGGGTTGTTCCCCCTCTACCTTAATAGGGATTATAGTAACCCCGATTATAATCTCATGAAGGACTGTTAGTACAAGGGGGAACATACCAAAACAACACGTTGATCCAAATTTGGCTGCATGGCCTCGGCTCGCCGACTGGCCTGCATGTTGGCTGACACCTGCGCTGACGAAAATGTTTGCTGTCGGCTTGTGCAAGTCCTTTTTTTAGGGGTCCCAAACAAGCACATAAGCAAAAATTAGGGTAGGGATATCCCATATAAACCCCCTTAGAATGAAGCCCTATAAGGTAGGGATATCCCTATACAATGCTTATGCTTATGTCCTTTTTGGGTCCCTAATGTTTGGCAACTCTCGAGGAAGTGATCGAACATGGCGCTCTGGACATAGTGACTTAGCCGAGTCTTGCCAACGGCCTCCGTCAACCGCTCCATGATCGGGTCCAGCTGCTTGACGACCTGGCGGTGGCAGAACGCTGAATACGTGGCATATTCAGCAGCAATGACAATGACAACCGGCATCCATTCTCGCCAGCTCGATGAACTCTGAGGTCTAAGGTTCCTTGGCCCTTTCAAGCACTTCAAGACATCCAGGGCCACCTCCTGCCGCTGCTCCTGCACCGCCTGAGCTCCGTCTCCCAAGGGATGCTCAGTGAGAACTGTGTGAGAACTCCGTGGCCATGTGGCTCTTCGGTGTTGCAGCCGGGACGGGTCGCAGGAACAGTAGTGCTGGTGACAATGAGGGTTTCCGGCATTGCGGCATAGATGCTTGTAGAATCATGTAGCAGTGGGGGGAAAAAAAAGAGGCCTGCCGCAACCACAATACGCCTCAAGAAATCTCCCAACGCTCTGAGGACTCGGCCTGCCGCGCGGCCGCCGATGCAGCGGCCATGCGCTCCTCCACACCCACCTCGTGCAGACAGGCAGGGAGTTTAGGGTTTAAAGGTTTAGGGTTTAGGGTTTAGGGTTTAGCAATCCAGGAATCCACAGCCACATACTGTCCATCATTTCCCGCCGTGCGCAAGTGACCTGTCGCACGAATGCAAGAGGCACATCAACAGCTCGCCAAGGACTCTGCAGTCAGCTCTTCTATCTCGTGCTTCCTGGCATTTGACTTGCGGGCTGAAGGTGCAGCGGCCGGAGCAGTGCATGAGGGGATCTTGGGTTGCTTTGTACCAAAGTGAGGCACGTTTTCACTCAATTGTCTCGCTCAGACATGGCGGAGGCACAGGCGGCTGCTGATGGCCCGATCCTGGCTGCCATTATGCTGCAGGAACCGAAAAACAAGACTTCATCCACAGCCTTTCAAGTCCAGACGCGCTGTCAAAGGCATTCGACGGGGGGGAGGGAGAAAACAGCTAGGTAGTAGCCGTCAGCTCAACCGCAGAACTCTCGAAGCGCCTGTCGCTGCACATCGCCTGCAAGGCGCTCAAACCGGGCAGCCATTGCAGCCTAAGTCAAAGAGAAAGGAAGCTGCTCCGCGTGGGCACGGTCCAGTGTGCTCGATGTGTGGACATCTAGCTGTCAGTCCGTGCTGTCAAGCGGGTCCAACACGACACAAACGTCGGTGCTTCAATGTAGGCATGCAGGAACCACCCTATGCCAAAGATTTCCAGAGCTGCTTCTCCAGCCCTTAAGTCTCACTATCTCGAACCGCGCCCTTCTTGCTGGGATCTCGGCTTCCTGTTCGGACAGGGCGAGGCCTCGGAAAGGCTTCGCACTTGGCTTAGCTAGCCCCAGGGGCTCCAATACCCCTTAAGTCAGCAATACTCCTTAATACATAGCAAGGTTCCTTATCTGGTTTAAGGAACAACCCTTCAAAAAAGAACGTTCCTCATATTGGTTTAAGGAATAGTTCTTAAAATAGAAGAGGGTTTCCGTATATGGTTTAGGGAATATTCTTGAACTAAGGAGTGTTTCAGTCCCTGGGGCTCAGGGAGCGGCTGCTTTATGCGAGCTTTATGCGAGTGACGCCTTTTCGTCTACGCGCGACCGAACCGGTAGCAGACGTAGACAGATACACAGACATATATACCTACACCAGTACATGGACCAAGAGAAGTTGAGTCGCATTCTTTTTTGCGTGTTCACTGCGTGTTCAGGACCTCGCTTCCGGCTCTCAACATCTTGGCACGCCATCATCGTGAGCTCCCGGCGAAGCGCCTTCACCTCGGAGCGGGGTTCTGCGATGGCCGTCGTCAGGGCTTCACTCGCCACCTCCGAGGGAAAGGGCACGGAAGCCACTCAAGCAGCGGATAACGGCCCGCACTGACGTCCCAGTCTCTAAGAACTGTCCTTCCAGGCCTGCTTGTGATACTGAAAGGCTTGCGCCCACCTCAGCTAGATTCAACTGGGCCAGCCAGGACTGGCATCTATGGCCCCAACGAGTGCTGTGACACGCCCAATGCCGATTAAGGCTAAAGCCCTGGAACCCAGCACCACAGACACCAAGAATTTCTCCGAGGCGCTTGTCAGCCTGCATTTGTGCCTCCTCGCCGACTAAGCGGCGACAGGCCTGCGCAACAGCTCAACGCGCCAGCACGTGCAAGGTCCGCAGGAGGAGTTCCGATCCGAGCCTCAAAACCCAAAATAGGATGGAGGATCAAAGAAGAGCGCAACAAGACCTAAACTCACCCACCCTCACGTAGATCGCAACTCAGCCGGTCCTGCTCAACCTCGGGTGCTAAATCCTGCGCGGCCCCAGCCACGCGCGCCACCTCGTTGCGCACCTCAGACCAAGTTTAGGGCCTGTAAGGCGCATATTCGGGCGGTGTGCAAGGGCTTTGTGGTGCCCTGTTCGGCAAAACGAACCTGATGAAAAGGGTCCCTCTTTAGTGGTGAGGACAAGCAAGTCAAAGTAGGAACCGGAACCAAACCCAACCGGAAATCTGCAGAGCATTTTGCCTTCAGTTCCTGTAGACCTGGAAGCATCAGTCACCTCTCATCACCTCTCCACGATCATTCTTGTGAGCAAAACATATTCTTGTTCAACCCATGTACGCGAAAGCCGTGCAGACATCCGACAACCCCATCGTCCGGAAGTGGCGAGAATACCGCTGACGATACATTCATGAACAGACATGCAGGCATGAGAAGGCCAGGAATTCGGCATACGTTGCGCCTGGGAAACCAAGAAAGCAGTAAAGAACACCAGGAAGTTAGCTACGCCCCTAGGCCAGCTCAAGGGCGACGCCAAGGGGACCATCATGCCCCCAAACTGGCCCATTCGGGCCGCATGTCACAGAAAGAAACTCGGAGGCTGATGGGTCCCTAAACCCAAAACCCTAAATACTGAACCCTGATACTGTAAACCCTAAACCCTAAACCCTGAACCCTGAACCCTTATGACATCGGGCGCCGCACGCTCAGCAGCGCCAGATCACTTTGCTCTGACATCCGCTGCGCTTTCTCCTGGCAGGCAAAGGATGGGTGCCGCAGGATGCCGCAGGAATGTTGTGCAGGGTTTAGGGTTTAAAGAATTTAGGGTTTAGGGTTTAGGGTTTAGGGTTTAGAGGTGAAGAGCAACAAATGTCTACATACCAAGGCTTTTCTTTTCAACTCCACAAGTGTGGCCATGCTTCACTGAATCTTCATTTCCTTTCCCCTCTCAGCTGATATGAGAGGCAGCTTCCAGCCAGGTTGTTCATGGTTGGCTCCACGATGTTCCGGCAGTTACAGCACAACTGGGGGCATGGCTGAAAACATTGTTATCGGCGTAAATGTCCCTTAAACCTGAAGACCCTGAAGCCCAAGGCACCAAAGCCCTCGACACTAAACATCTGAAAGCCCTGTCGCCCGAAGCCCAACAGCCTTTCAAAGTCCCTCGCCTCCACATCTGCCAGCCGCTCGGTCAAGGCCCGAGAGGCCTCTCTTAGCTGTTCGCGGCCCTTGGAAGCCTTGGCCACAAAGTGTAGGGGTCTTTAGGGCTTCAGGGCTTTAGGGTTGAGGGTTTAGGGTTTATATGTCTTCAGGGCTTTTTAGGGTTTCCAGGTTTGGGGAGTGTAAAACTTGAGGGTCTTTTTGCGAGTGCCCGAACGACACTGCGAGCCGAGTGAGCCTAAGCGCGAGCTTGAGCTGGGTGCCCCCCGCCAAGTCTTCGTAAGAGTGCTCCAAGACGTCCATCCTCCTGCCCAACCTGCCATCACTTCGGATTCTGATCCGGTGCCTCCCGGTTGTTCCGTTGATTCCGGATTTCATTGCGGCCTTGCGGCTTAAGGCATGGCAATGGTGGTACAGACGTGTGGAGGTTGCACTCAAGTATCGGCCCTTGTTCGATCGAAAGTATGGGCCATTGTGGGACGTTTAAAGCTGCTCGGCTCAGCCCCCGCAAGGGCAACCACCTGACTCAACAAGCCCTGTCGTTGAGAGAATTCTAAGGATAACTTCAAGACCACTCTCGCACCTGCCCACAAACCACTTGGGCATGTTTTCCATTCTGAAGCATCCTGAAATCCTGAACTCGTACACTCCCGAGTAACCGCCGCAAGAGTACTGTAACCTTGCAACTGCAACAGCTCTCAGCTCCCGCTTTGTCTCAAACACTGCCAGGTGCACTCAGAAGCCTCCTTCTGAAACGAGGCGCTGTTCCGGAGTGACTCGAGGAGACGCGGGGGGCGGAGTGGTGGTGGGGGGGGGGGGAGTTGTTGAAGCCTCAAAGGCCTAGGGCCTTAGGGCCTTTGAAGGCTTAAGGTTTTGAAGGACTTGTTCGTGACATGGTGACAGAGAGGCCGCTTTCATTCTTGTGCAATCTTGTGCAGCGCATGCCTGAGTGGCACGCCAAAAGCCTAACTCCTAACCATGAGCTCTCAGCTCCGTGGATGCCTTCCCACAAGCAAGACCCTCTCAGAGATGTTCATCCTAGGCTTCTGCACCCCTTCATCGAGACTTCCTTACCCCGCAATGACCTCAGCAATGGTGCCCTGCCCCTCAGGAGTTTAAATGCGGGGTGCCAACGATTTCTTCGCGGCCTCGGCTCTCGCTGCATCGCCTTGCCGAGCCAACTCCTGGCCCACGTGACAAAAGGCTCTTGAGAACGGATGGGGGTCTAACGGTCTGAGGGTGTAGGGTACCGGCTGGGTGAGACTCTGTTTCATGACACACAAGCTAGAATGCTCGCGCAGGCGTGTAGCTACTGAAGCAGTACTGCCAAAACACAGCTTGTTCATGAGGCTCCCCGTGCATCCAGGACCATACAGATGGGCTCCTCCCTGCACTCCGTGACGACACGCTCCAGTGCAGCAGCCTGATCAGGCAGATTTGGTCGCCAGCCTAGATGTCTGGCTTGCATGTTCACAAGCATGGTTCGATCTATACATAGTCCTTCTTCTATGTCTCTTGCTTTCATGTGGAGGAGCGGCGGGAAAGGGGCAGGAAGGGGGGAAGCGGGGGAAGGGAGGGCAAGAGGGGGGGGGGGGGGGGGGGGGGGGGGGGGAGGTGGGTGAAATTACGCGCGCCTGATGACCACTCGATCTGACTTCCTTGCGGAGCTCCGCAAGAGCAGCCTGGCGGCTTCTTACGGTTTTGACATCTATTTCAGTTTGTTGGGGTTTGCAAGCGTCTCGGCAGCTATCGCAGGCATTCATGTATGCAGGGTGTCCCAGGGTTTCGAGATTTAACAACGATCGTGTTGCGTCTTGTTGCTGTTGACTTCGCAAAGCTTCCGGGCCAAGTTTCCTCTTGGGGTTTCCAAGAATGGGCCCTTTAAGACAAGTAGGGGGGCCTCTCTCCTTTAGAATAGTCGTATAGTTTTGGGCATCAACATACAGGCCCTACAACGCCCAGTCCCCGGCTTGCAGCATTTTTGTCAATCCGTCCAGCCGGGCATGGTCAGTATGTTATTCACAGCTCACCAGGCCCCCAAACGTCAGACAATGGGATGGTTGGTAAAGCACCTGAGTTACTTTGTAGCGCGATGTGCCGTAGAGTCCTGTCTAAGGTCACACTTCACTTCTCGAAACTGTGGGTACCCTTGAATATCTTGGGGGAGTTGGAGAAGTTAACATATGGTCACCTCTCACAATTACTGGTCCCCTTTGGGTTCACTAGTGTAAGGCGGCCGATGCTCATTGAAGGTACCCCAGAAGGGGCCGCAATGTAGAGAACTCACCATATCACGATGCCACCCCAATGTCCTTTGCATGAACCGTTTGACGCTGGCAGTCGACTGCTGGCGCGATCAGCTCGGCAGGAAAGCGGTTCTGTTCACAGGGTTCGGGGATTTGGGCTTTGGGGTTTTGGGGTTTAGGGTTTTGGGGGGTTTGGGGGTTTTGAGGTTTTGGGGTTTGGGGTTTTGGGGTTTCGGGGTTTTGGGGTTTGGGGTTTGGTGTTTGGGGTCGAGGGCACCGATGCAGAGGCATCCCCTAAAGGAGGCCCTAATGATGAGGCGTTTCATATGCTTTGCCAGCAAGCGAGTACCAATTGCAGTCTGAATTGGGCAAAGCGCAACAACTGGAAGAGTGCCTTGCTAGAGACCGAAAGAGCACTCCCAAGCCAGCCATCTTTGCTCATCAGGTTCGGCCGCAATCACAGTAGCTAGCCCCCCATGTTTGAGGACGCACCTTATGTGGGCCGCAATGCAGATCTCTATGTGTGTGTGTGTGCGTATGTATATATATATACATACATTCAAAAACATATATATATATATATATGCTACCCCCCCCCTAAAACCTACCTTTCTATAGTTTTTCAATACTTATAAACTGCCCTTACACTATACATGTTCCTGTTCCTATACAAAATTCAGCAGACAAGCTCTCCACTCTAAAGCCCAGACCCGAGGCACCCAGCCCTATGGAGTCAAAACTGAGCCAAACGCTAACCCCACATCTACAACCCTAAACCTCAAACTCAAAACCCCCCAAGCCACCAAGTCCACTCTTACCTAAACCCACAAGCGAATAAGAATAAAATACGTCTGCGTTGCTGCTCGCCCAGGGACCTGGGATGTGGGGCGCTGCTTTTGTGCCGGAAATTAAAACCTTATAGCTCATTAGGTTTGCTTGATGTTTTTTTTGCAGTTGCCTGCGCGCAACATCTACAAAATTCCGGTGTAGCATGGTCGCGCGTGCTTCAGCTTTCGTCAGCTGCCGCCACGCAACGTTGGAGAACACTTTCTGCTACATCATGCAACTGCTGCCTGAGTAGAGTCTTATAAGGATTCCCTTCCCGGCAGCAGTGACACGAAAAACACAGATGACTCCAGTTACCTGCATCATACTCCAAATATTTGGTAGGCAGCACATTGCAGCGGTATACCTCAAGGATTGACCTCAACATGAACTCCAGTGCAACCGACCTATGTCGGCCACGGCTACAACACACTCCTATGTCTACCTTTGCACTCCCACACGGATCTTCCATATGAGACCTCAGGGCCTGGACGAGTTTCCTTACCTTCACCATGAACAACGGATTTCGACGCACGCCTGCCATCATGACATCATGAAGGCCACAATGACTGCTGGCAAGACCCATATTGCCCTCGGGATTGCGGAAGTCTTCTGCATTAATAGTACATAGTAGTCCATCTGGTGCAGGGCGCTCCTTCTTCCCCCAGACCAGGAAACGTACATTTAGCTCATGTAGCCAAGGAGGTGGTCCAAGGGGTTCTGCAGGACGTGGAGAGACAGGAGGTAGCCGAGCTGAAGGATCTAGCGAAGATGTAGCTTGGGTAGATGGCATAGGTGTACCCGAAGACCTGCGCCTTTTTCTGCTCCGTGTAGTATCCTCCGAGTTTTCACGAGACAACCTTTCTGGATTCGAAGTAGAGGGCCTCACAGATCTTGTCACATGGGGCGGTGACGCCGCCAGTCCTCTTGTGCGCGGGCTCATATAAGTCTTTGGGGGCGGCGGGACGAATACTCCAAAAGTAGATGGCCTCAAAGACCTTTCCACCGGCGGCGGTGGCGGTGGCGGCATCTTTGATGTAGTACACAAGCTTGTGGAACTCTTTGGGGGCGGCGGCACCACTCTCGGGCATGCACGTTCCACACGTAGTGGTCTAACAACCGCGCATGCTCTGGTGAGCAACACACACACACACGCTCTGCGGAGGGAAAGGTCAGACGAGTCAAGCCTAACAAACAAAAACCCCTCAGAGAACAGCCAGAAGCCGTGATTCGCGCTACAGCGCGGGCTACGGCCCACTGACCTAACAGCTGAACGCTACGCATGGAGAGCCATACAGCGCCAGCACAAGGCACGCCTGCCGCTTCGCAAACGTGACAGTCTATACAAACATTCTGCAATGGTCACTTAGCACTTCCACTGGCATCATCCAGAAACCTTTGAAGCTGGCGTTCGAGATCCCCTGCCGGTGCCACCCCCGGCAACTCCCGCACTCCCTGATCTCGGCGAAGATCTGCTTTGATGATGGCCCACACTTTGTCTGACGGGCTGCTTTCCATCAGATTGATCTCCAACCGCTTGAGCTCTGGTCTGAAGTTTTTTTGGACGCGCGCGTACTTCACTTCGTGGTGGATGGCCTTCCACCCCTGTTCCTGGTACTTGCTGGCATACTCCAACAGGACCGCGAGGGACTCTTGGTGGGAGGGATCTTGCTCTTTCGCACGTTGCTCCAGGTTGCGTGTTGCGACCGCCAACAGAGCGTTCCAGACATGGATGTGAGGAAGACCGAGGCGCTCCTCTTTGTCCTTTGGACTCATTTCCTTGGCTGCCTCCGCATACTTTTTGGTGGCTTGCATGGCCTCCTGGATGTACGGGTTGGCTGCAGGAACTTGGTGCACTTCCAAGAGGATGCTGCGAAGAGCCCTGATTTGCATTGCGTTTGACAATGACAACTTTGCCAGTGTTGACAGCAGCTTTTTTGTCTCCGCATCCTCCATGCCCTGTCGCGCGACTGCACGAACCTTGGACGGCCGCTCGCCCTGATTTTGCTCTAGGCCGAGGTTCATTGCTAACTTCGATGTGGGGGGGGAAGGTGAGCCCAGAAGTGTCAAGAAGTTCTATGGAATGCTGAAGATCCGGAAAATGACTGCGAACATGCCAATGATAAGCATAATGGTCAGCGAAGGCGGAGTCACATAGGGGGCAAATCACATCATAACACGGTGTGACCTCAACCGGCAAAAAAGCACTATCAGCAATGCAACGGCCATGAAACAGAGCTCTTCTGAAATGATTTTTGCAGAAGCGATACTGCTGAACGCCGATGAGCAGAAAGGACACTGGTTGGTGACCACAAGGGTAGCTGCATGTACCTCGGTGCCATGTTCTCCATCCTGCGCAAACCTTTGATGCGCAAACAAAGCCTTTTGCGTCTGGAATCTTTGGCCACATATACTGCCGTCCACACGGAGTAATTCACACACATGCCCATCTGCAAACTCGGTAGGTGTAGCAGCGGGACTCTGAGTTGTGCCGTCGGTGAAGCCAGGCGGCGGGATTTGAACAGATATGGACTTTGCCCTGAGCTCCGAAACATCTACAGCGCAAAATGCTTCACGAAGCACAGCGTCATGCAGTAAGTGTGCAGGGTTGTCTTTGACACTGTTAGATATCCATGCAGCCTCCTCGATCTGCGAGAGGTCACTGAGATCACTCCGTAGTTGTACAAGCCACGGATGGTCCGAAAGTGTTTTCTCGAAAGGGAACTGACCAAACATCGCAGCAAACATTTGATGATGCTCGCGGGGTTTCGCAAGCATGGTTTGAAGCCATCGAAGCCGTGCGACTACAAGCTCGATGCCAACTGGAGCCACGCGAGCCCGAACGTGAACCTGTTGATTGGTTAGTGAACGGTATCTGGTGTTTCCATCCTATAGCTGCTGTTTAGAACAAGCTTGTCCTTGGAGAAGTTTGCGAAGCAACCCCACCAGGAAAGAGTCCATCTTGTTGATGAAGTGGTCGTTGACGTACCAAGCCACCAATCCCGATAAGAGAGTTTGAACCACCACGCATCGGAAAACCAACAATTTGAAACGCATATCAATCCGCTTGAACCAGAACCCACGAAAATCGTACCATGCACGTCTAGCAGCGTCAATGCGTCGTTGACATTCAGGAGCAAAAGAACAGTCCCAATGCAAATATGGCCCCAGGTAGCGAGCTTCTTTTTTGCAGCCTGGCACCAGTTGACCATAGAGAAAAGCTTCACGAGTAAGCTTGTGAGCTCCTGGGCCTCGAAGGTTAAGCAAGGCTTCAGCTTTGGATATATTCTGAACCATTGAAAGCCGATCTAGCGCACCATCCAAGCGGGCAGCAGAGTCTTCTACTTTTTGGAATAGAGCACTTGGTTTGTTGTCTGCGACCCGAGACGCGAGATCGTCAACGAAAACGGTAGTGGCCACCGAGATCGCCGTCGGGCAATGCTCCATGTTGGTGGTGAGAAGCTCATTGTGCGGCATCAGCTGGTCTTCGAATTGGCGGATTGCGCCCCAGTACACCAAGTTGAAACACTCAGTGGCGATTGTGCTTCCCTGCGGAATGCCAGAACCAGGCTGCAATAAGACTGACCCATCACATGCTTGGAGTTCACACCGGTGGTTGACGATGTGCTGTAAAAGAATTGATACATCCTGAGAGGGAGGCAGTTGTTGGAAAATGCTTCGAATGTTAGAATGCGCAGGTGAGGGGAAAGCATTCTTCACGTCGTAGAGCTTGAGCGCGGATGAAACCCCACTTGTGCGAAGTCGAAACGCCATGATGTTTTGCACTGCAATAGCCTCTTCTTTGCGCTTGCCCACAACACCACCATATGCAAAGGCAGGGGGAGAGGGAAGGTGCGGCACTACTGATCTGCGCCACAGCATTCTGTAGTACTGCTTGGCCAGTGCCCCAAAAGCATGTACAATGCGTACATCACTGCATAGGTTATCTTCCCCTACGTGCGGCTTGCAAGCTTTATGCACACAATGACCAGCACTGAGCTGGAATTGACACGGCGCATGTCCTGCAGAACGTATACTCGCCAGAAGTTGTTTTAGCCAGCGTTGAGCAGTGAAGGGAGTTGGAAAAGACCGCTCGTGACCCACTCCAAATCTCTGCTGATCTCTCACCTCCTGTGGAAATATGACCAGCCGCCAGATTTCCAATGGGATTTCACCATCAGGAACACTCTTTCGGAACGCACCAAGTTTGACACAGCGCGAAAGATCTCTGTAGTCACGGACAGCATGTTCGCGATGTGTTCGCGTGACCAGGCAGTGTGCCATATCAATACCTTGGCGGGGTAAACGCTGACTGACAGCTGTTGCGCTCCACCCACCCTGACGCGCATCTTGCGCGAGGTGTTTCTGCCATTGTTGGGTTGATGGCATAGCAGTGAGAGGCATGCGGCCCCACTTCCTGCGAGACCCCTTGTGGACTCCCGCTATGCGCCTGCACAGCTTCCAGGCCTCCGCCAACCTTCGTTTCCTCCACGCCGTTTGCAACTCAAGCCGAAGATGCTCCCGACGAACATTGAGGGCTTGACGACACGCCAGCTTTGCCTCCTGAGTGGCTTTGTCAAGGCGAATTTGGGCTTTCCAGGCCGAGAAAATCGGACCCATAGCCTTCAGAGGCAATTGTAAGTTGCAAGCACTTGCAAGATTACAATGCTTGTATGCCAGAACAGCATCGTATAGCACACCAGCATAAAAATTGCATGAACCACCACGCACAGTACGTCTTTGAACAAGAGCTGTTCGCCGCAAATCACGACAGCGAGCAACATCAGGATGAACAATCGCAGCCTCTTGAAAAACCTGTGAAGCGGCGCGGTGAAGGGTACTACGAAGAACATCGTAAATATCAGTAGGGTTGTTACGCTGCACAGCCTCTTGCCAACGGTCCCAGTTGCTTGTACACTGTTGTTGTACCGCCTCCACGAAGCTGTCACGAGAATCACCTGCAGTGATACATCTGACAATTGCATCGCGATCCAAATTGACTTGGTCATGCGCTTCGTATTGCAGATTTCTAGTGTGCAACCAGACCCCCAGTGGCCGGTGATCAACCCGCTTCACACAGTTGACGAGTTGTAGCCGATCACCTTTGTGAAGAAGGACATGCGGGTTCTGCGCCAACCGTGAGCTCCACCAACCTTGTGGGACACATATGTAGTCGATGCGAGAAGTTGTGCGAAACGTGCCAGAATAGAATGTTGGACCAGCACTAACCATTGTATTGCACGCCACAAGGTGGTATTGCTCCAGAAACTGTTGAAAAACTGGCCCATTGCCGTTTTCTGTTTCAGCATCACACGAACCGATGCTCTCTGATGTGAGGTGGCCTCCTCCACGCAGGGCGCCAACACGCGCGTTGGCGTCCAGACAAAGCACTGGGGTGGTCCGAGCAGGGAGCTTGTTGAGAACATGGGAAAGCCATCTAAAAAGCTTCTGCGTAATCACAAGAGCTCGTTCAGTGTGTGTCGCCGGTGGAACATATGCACTGATGTATGTGATATCGCTGCATGGTCGACGTGACCTGACAGCTAAACCACGACCAGAAAGGCAGGGATCTGTTGGCCAAGCCACCTGGGTGAGGTGTTTGCGATGATGCCTAGATGCATCAAAAGAAACGGCAACACCAGCATGCTTGTTGGAGCGGGGCCCGTATCCAGCCTCAAAGAAATGTCTCCCATCAGCCTTCATGTAATTTACAGGCTGTGACCCAGCCATTGTCCGCGTGCCTTGAAGGCATATAACGGAAGCACAGCGAAGTTCAGCATGAATGTCTGCAAGTCTGCCAGATTGTTTCAAGGACATACAGTTGTATGAAACGCAAAGCTCACGTACAGCTGCAAGTCCACAGGCGCCTGCAGCGCGACAAAAGGCTGCCACCATCGTGACACTTTTCCTAATGCTACGTTATCGGGGGGATTTGAGCATAGTAGCTTCTCTGGTGAGCAAGCCTACTGGAAGACGCCCTACAGGTAGAGGAGACTCCATTGCCCACTTTCGAAAGGGTGAAGGGTTGGGTTTTTTTTATGTTAAAGGTTTAGGATTGAGGTTCATACACTAGTATGTACAGTCATATTGTACACTCATGTAAAGTGTTGCGTCTGCACATATATACCCATAGGGTTGGGGGGGGGGGGGGGTACTTGAGCCCTGCCCAATGCGGCCGAGCGAAGTCCGTGCTGAGCTGCAGACCTCGGCAAAGGGATTACTACGGTGTGTTATATGATTGTTCTCTTTAGAGGAAGCACTCACGCGTGACTATTCGCAAAATAATAGTATTTATGGGGTTTATGTATAGGGTTATATGCTTACGCCATAGGACTGGCATGATTATGCATGTGATGCCATATATATCCAGCACTATAAAACCATATTGGCACTGTGAAGCTCAAATATCAGCCGAGTACATATCTATGTATATTTATTTTCGTGCGATATACACAAGGAGTATCTAGACTTGTGCCCCCCCCCCTTATGTATAATTTATAAGCGGTGCCAAAAACCATGCCGGCTTGATATAATACAAGTGTAATAAGAATCACATACGCAATCACGTGAATTTGGCCTACGGTTCACGTGATCGCGTACATGATTTTTATATAAGACTATAACGATACACACGACGAACGAATAAGAGTACTTGCCCAAACACAAGTGCTTCCACAGTTGCGATGCACTGACGCAATCCTTATCCGCTCGCGCGCACAGCCACCTCACTCCCGACGGCTTGCGGCCTGAAATCCCACTTGACACCTGTCGTGTCAGTATATACGTGTATGGTGAACCATTAACGATACACACGACGAACGAATAAGAGTACTTGCCCAAACACAAGTGCTTCCACAGTTGCGACGCACTGACGCAATCCTTATCCGCTCGCGTGCACAGCCACCTCACTCCCGACGGCTTGCGGCCTGAAATCCCACTTGACACCTGTCGTGTCAGTATATACGTGTATGGTGAACCATAGGTGATACGCCGTTTCACTTGCTGCCGCCCATGAGCTTCTTCATGTGGTACTGGCTAAGCTCGCAAGCTGTCTTCCACGGGTCCTGGTTCTTGAATCAGCACTGATACTGCGCGGCTTGTATCTGAGCCCGAAGGAGACGTGATCCTGCACGTGTGTTCTGATTCAAGACGAGACGCTCCTTGATGAATCTCCAGGCACGATCGATGATCTGCGTCCCGGCCTTACATCTCACCGTCTTCGAAGTTCCGGGCAGGCGATGCGCGGTAACCTTGACATACGTCGGCCTGACCCACCGCATCTTTCCATGGATGAGCTTGCGCTTCTTTGCGTGGACGACATTGTCATGGAGCACCTGGTCGATGCGAGTGGTGTAGCTTCGAGCAGCATCCGTGCGCAAGATGATATGCCGTCCTTTCAGATACCGTTGGGCCAGTGGAGTCCACTCAACCTTCCGAACCGCGCCCGGTCCTGGGGCACGGACTTCCGTACTCGGCGGAGTCAGTCGTTCGAGAATCAGACTCTCAGGGCGCCCTCGCTGGGCTAGCCCTAGCCATTGTTCCCACACAATGGGCTTGTCCGCCTCAACGTTAGGGTCAACGCCGTGCATGTTGCTCTTGATGAAGCTTGCCTCGTCTCCCTCGACATCTAGTCCTTGATGGCCTTGCCACTGACATTCTTAGAGCCCAACTGGATATCCTTCTGGCGATCCTGCACAAAGTCCTGCCGGGCATATGTGAGTCGGGTGGCCATGTCCTCCACGAGCTTGTGGTTGACATCTAGAGTCTGGCAAACAACCCCAGTGCTGACGTTCTGCAACTTCATCAGGAGCACAGATGCTTGAATCTGGAGTGGAGTATGCCCGGTACCTCTTCCATCGGTGAGCCATGGATGGAGATGAGTAGGTTTGATGTAGACCTGACAGCCTTTCTTGTTGCAGCGATAGCAAAGATTCTTGGAGGTTGGATATCATGCCGGATAGCAAGCCTTTGCCACACCGAGGACATTCCTTCCCCTTCCAGTCGGGCAGCATGCCGTCCTTCTGAAGGATCTTGACAATTTCACTGTCCGTGGCCCGAAGCAGCCTCACCAAATTTTGCTGACATTTCAGCTTTTCTTTCCGCGGTCCACGCGCTGGCGCCGCCTTGTCATCCCGGACATAGGGTGTCTTCTTGTACTCCAAGGACTTTTTGGAAGCGGGCCGCTTCTGGATCGTCCGTTGCACTCCTCTCTTGGGCACGATGACGCTGAATCTATGCGGCATGGCTGTGTCTCTACGGTTCCTGTTATAGAAACGGCTTTTACACGCACACGGTGCAAGTGGAAGTGGCATGAGAGACTTACAGCTCTGACGCGACACGAAGCGAGATTACCAAGGACCGGTTTACCATCTCTGAGCGAGGCGTGCCACCACTTGCGGGAAGGCGTTTCATCTAACTGCATATGGATCCGTCAAAACTGTCTATCGCGGCCCCGGATCCTTGCTCACCCGTGCATGTAGGCAGCAACATCTTCGCCAGGATCCACGACGTCCATCTCATCCACGGTCTTGCTCACACATGCATATAGGCAGCAGCCTCTTCGTCCGGATCCATGACGTCCATCTTATCCTCGGGGCTGCGCACCTCCTCAGTCTCCTGGACGGGCTGTGACTGTTCCGTCGTATCCACGGGACTGGGCACTTGCTGAATCTCCTGCGATGGCTGTTCAGTCTCATGCACTGGGTTGTGCACTTGCTCAATCTCCTCTGCGGGCTGCGGCTGTGACTGTTTTTGTCGCACTCGCCGGCCTGGAGTAGGATACACAAAGGCAGAAGAGCTCAACAATCTTCGCCTGGGCTGCGTGGGGCTGGCAAGCTGAACTGAGAAGGGCACGGTTGGCGGGACATCGGCCTCGCTTGAGGAAGACGATGACGGCAGAACCCTTCGTGGCATCAGCCACTGTTGTAGCTCATGATCAGCGTGGGCAACAAAGTCTTCTTTCTTCCTGAATGTGGCCAACTTCTCCATGCTGGCATCGATCAGTGCCTGCTCTCGTTCTACACCACGACGAAAGTTCTCGCCGAGGATGGTCACCCCCGTCTTGTATTGCCCGTAGAGTGGTTTGTCGTCATCAGCGAGCATGTCTGAGTGAATGTCCTGGATGCAGATGCGATGGATCATTCCACTCTTTTTCTCACTTGGGAGGCGAAGATACAGTGCAGTCTCACACAGCACGAAGATAACCGACCGTTTCAAGACCGCCATTACGTCCTTTTCCAGGTCGCCCTCGAAGAATGGCTTGATGACCTTCATGAAAGCGTCATGGGTTAGCGTAGTCTCCGTGTGCTCACTTGGTGCGGGGTCATCCCCGATTTCGTTTGACGCAATGCCTCGAAATTGATTTCGGAGCTGCTTGGCGTCATCATACCTGCCCTCTGTGGTCTGATCCTCGTCCGCTGTCACGAAGCTCTTGAGGTCGGATATATCGAGCTTGCGCCTGGTCGGGTCATCCAGGAAGAGGCCCTCCTGGATTTGCGGCATCCGCTGCCTGAAATTATCCAAGGATTTAGCTCTTCGCCATCCTGGCTGGACTCCCACCAAGTTAAGTCGCCGCACATGGTAGCGGCCCATAGCCATCGCCAGAACGATCATGGTGGGGGTCTTGCCTGCCCCTGCGCAACCGAAAATCATCATGGCGGACGTCATGAGTAGAGGGTATACCCACGGAAGGATGCGCTCCCACAGGGGTTCTTTCAAGGAAAGACTGTGCAGTGGAAATTCGTTCATGGGAACTGCCCCTCTGACCCCACGGCTCTTGTTCTGAGCCATGAGACGCACCTTCGTCTCAGGCCACCCTGCAATGGGGGTCCCGGACTCGGGCTTGATAGAAGCCATGATCCAGTACGTCTGTTCGTTCCTGGAATCGCAGTCAGGAGCCTGCGAGTTGATGAATTTGATCCCCTCCGACAGGATGTCGTTCTCAGGATTCCAGGAAGACTTGGAGTCAGACGGCTCCAGAGTCTCAGCTGTTTTCTGCTGGAGAAGTTGCCACCGACAGTGGTGTCCTGTCAGTTGATTCAGCAGCTTCTGCAATCCTTTTTAATTGCCCAGGGGCCAGGCCGGAAGACGGGAACGTAGGCATCGCCAGCACAAACCTTCATGACGATGTTTCGAGGGACGGGCTTTTCAAAGTAGACAACCTTGAGGACATCGATGAAGCCGTCGCCGAGAGTATTCACGATGATGTCCACTTTGGCGCCGGATGGTCAGGGACCCAAGAAACGAATCTCATACGGAAACTCGTCCAACTTGCCCTCGGACGCTAGCTTGCACAAGGAGCTTGCTTTCCCGCATTCTGGAACAGCAAATTGGGCATCTAGCAAAACAGCCACAGTGGACTTCACCTCGTGCAGAGGACGACACGCCTGACTCATGAGTCTCTGAATACTCAGTGAGCAATCGTCATTTGCACGGAAAACTTGCGCTTGTTCTAGCTGCCGCAGATACCACGACTTGTCCCCGACTTCTGCGAGGGCCTCGTCCATTAGTGTCCCACTCATGTTTGCACAAGGACGATTCGAGGATAATCTCGTAGCTAAGGAACTATAGCAGCTGACGAGTCTCGAGCACTTGATGTAAACTATATCCTTCAGAGTCCAGTTGCCTGCACAGTATATTTTGCTTTTTAAGATAATACGCATTTTGCTTTGAAAGGTAACATATAAGCATTAATCAACAGCAGTGTCGCATTCTTTTCCTGTACTCGCACGGTCATGAGTTCTTGTTCTGAATGACAGCCAATGCGCATGTAGTGGAAGACAAGATCACGTATGAGGTATTCTTTACTTCTTCTCGGCCTTGGCTCTGGCTTTCTGGATCGTGAGAAGGACTCCATTCCACACCCTCTTATTGTTCTGGTTCACACGACTGCGCCTCATATCCGCCGCGGTCACGTAGAGGTCGCGCCAGTCTGACGTCCATGACGACATGTCTACCGGTTCTGGTGTGCTTGCTGAGGCGAAGCTACTCGACCCATCGTTGTCGCTGTCCTCGCTACTGCTCTCGCTGCTGGATGCCTTCTTGGTGTTGATGGGGTCGGTGCTGCTTCCTGCATCTTGGCGTGCATCATCGTTTGGTACGTTCACACGCGAGTCACTTGCGTCCGAGTTTGTGGCATCCACTGCCATGTCTTCGCCACTATTCTTGCCCACGACGGTGTTTGACTTCATCACCTCTAAGTTGGCGTCCTCAAGTGCCAAACATTCGCCACGGCTTGATGTCTTGCTCTTGTTCTTCTTCTTGTCGGGAGACTGCGTGTCCTTGATCATCAGGACGCCACTGTCTTTTGCGGTTCCCTTCTTTGCTTTGGCTACAGTCTTCAAGAGCATGTTCCATGCTTCTTCGCTCCACTGTCCATCAATCCCGGTCTTGGTCATGTGGAGCTGCCGCTGAATGTTATGGAGCAAGATGTAATAGTCCTTCTTCTTCATGTCGGCTCGGCTCGCGTGAAGCTGTACGAGGCCCGACTCGACAGCCTGGAAAAACTCATTGGCGGACGGAGGCTTCTTTGTGTCTGAAGCCTCTTCATTCTTAGTGATGTGAATCACTGCGTTGCCGGAGGAGTCCAATGCGAAGGTGCCTGTGATGCTGACGGCCGCCATGAGGAGTACGCGTATGCTATGGCTGGAAACTGCGCGTTTATAGCCCAAGCTGCGCGTCGAAATTGAGTCGATTCAACGCATACATACTGGAACCACTTTCAGTGGCGTAATATACAATACCATGGCCTAGAGTTGCGTAATATTTTTTTAACCATAAGAAAAAATCTTCAGGACCGGGAGTTTTAAAACTCCTTGCTTAGCCACGAGAGGAGTTTTAAAACTCCTGCCACCGAAGATTAAAGATTGTCGGGGCCAAGAGTTTTAAAACTCCTTGCTTAGCCACAAGAGGAGTTTTAAAACTCCTGCCACTGAAGATTGAAGATTGAAGATTCCCCGGAACTCTTTCCAGGAATCTTCAGTCTTCAATCTTCGGGGCCAGGAGTTTTAAAACTCCTTGCTTAGCCACAAGAGGAGCTTTAAAACTCCCGGCCCCTAAGATTGAAGATTGAAGATTCCTGGAAAGAGTTCTGGGGAATCTTCAATCTTCAATCTTCGGGGCCAGGAGTTTTAAAACTCCTTGCTTAGCCACAAGAGGAGTTTTAAAACTCCCGGCCCCTAAGATTGAAGATTGAAGATTCCCCGGAACTCTTTCCAGGAATCTTCAGTCTTCAATCTTCGGGGCCAGGAGTTTTAAAACTCCTTGCTTAGCCACAAGAGGAGTTTTAAAACTCCCGGCCCCTAAGATTGAAGATTGAAGATTCCTGGAAAGAGTTCTGGGGAATCTTCAATCTTCAATCTTCGGGGCCAGGAGTTTTAAAACTCCTTGCTTAGCCACAAGAGGAGTTTTAAAACTCCTGGCCCTGCAGATTTTTTTCGTCGTCTTTAAGTATTTGCTATTTCGTTTTTTATGTATATCTATAGATATATGTCCATATATATATATATCCGGCTTCGAATATAGCAAACACGTCTCGACATAGAAAAGGGTATGAAACGGTAGGTTTTGGGGGGGGGTACCATATATATATATATATGCATATATGTATATATGTATATATGTATATATGTATATATGTATATATACACATACACACACACACAGAGCGTTCCTTGATTGATGCGGGGTAACGGGTGTTCTTGGCTTCCAGCATGACCTCGAGGTTTGCACGAACAACTGGCATGGATGGATGGGATGCTTCTCCCCGATGCTCTGCTTGTCACCCAAAAAAAGGCTCAAGACCCCAGCAACTAGATGGCAAACAAGACGGAAGCGGCGGCTGATCAGACTCCATGGGTAAGGCAAGACCCCAAAAACACACCCTAAACCCTAAACCCTAAACCCTAAACCCTAAACCCTAAACCCTAAACCTAGGAGGCCGCAGAGTCTTGTTTCAGAAACTCGCCCTTTTGAGTCGGAGTTTCAACTGGGCATTACGGCAGCTGCAAGCCACAGCCGAAGCCGAGTTGCTGCATCAAGGTACGTTACACTCAAGTTGCCTCAGAGGACACCCCAGGCTCCGATTTATATAGGGTTTAGGGTTTTAGGGTTTAGGGTTTACGTTTTAGCAGGATATTTGGGGTTTCGGGTTTAGTGGGGTTGGAGGTTTGGGTTAGGTTTGGGTCTTGAGGGCTTTGAAACTTCAGGCTTTAACTTTCAGGGTTCTGCTGCCACATGCCACCGCATAATACACCTCCATCATCTTATAGCTACCGGTAGCCGCGTGCGATTTCAAAAATCTGCACACGGTTTTGGGGTCCGGATGGAATGCTTTCACGCCGGCCGCATAAAAGTGCCTTCGTCTCGGGGCAATTCGGGGCACATCAGTTGGTATCTGGCCATGATTCGGTCCTCTTGAAGCAAACTCAGACTCCACAACTCCCACGCCGACGAGACCACCACGACAAGCAGACCTTTGAATATGGTGTTCCCATGTGCTTCTGAAAAGTATGACGTATGACAAGTACGTCAGGTACTGCCTCACCAAGTACACACTGCTGGGGAACTTGCAATTTCAGAACTCAAACAGACCAGCTTGCTTTGACTCCAGGTTCTGAAGTTCAAGCATTTGGGGTTACCCTAAACCCTAAACCCTAAACCCTACCTCAATCCCTAAATCCTGAACACACGAGTACGTGGTGTGCCAATCGACGTGGGACCTGAGGAGCCACCAAGACAACACACCACAATCGTCCGCGCAATCGCAGCCTTGATTGTGAGCATGTCATCCGCCCCCAAATCTCTCTGCTGCTTCGGGATATCTGGGGTAGGTTTGGTGGGCCCTATAAAATTGGAATGTTTATGGCTTTGTTCAGGATTATACAGGGGATTGGGAACACCATGCCGGGCTCCATCGGTTCTCTCAGCGCGGATGGAATGCAAGAACTCTGAATGTAGCGATGGCGACTCGAACACCTGCCCTTGACTCGGGCATGGGGGAAAGCGGTGAAAATCTTCTTGCTTACAATGCGAGCCACTCGTAGCCCTCGGGCTCAAAATCATGGTGATTGCAACTGCAATTTGCACGACATGCTGAATGCTTACGGTTCGAGGTACAACTATTCTTTGGTCAGTGAGCTCTTTCATGCAGCAAACAGCAAGCACACTCTTGCCAGTTCAGATCACAATGGCTGGAGGCCGTGTCCATCTTTGCTTGCAGCGTCTTCTGCAGGGGCCATGGCCTCGGCAGGACCTCAGCGGAATCACTTGTACCTGGCACCGGCAGGAGCATGAGCCGACAGGGCAACCAAGGTGGGCTTCGGAGCCCTCACTGAAGGCTTTTGAAGACTTGCACATCGACATGGGGCACTTGGAGGACTTCGTCATGAGGTCGGCAACATTGATGAGGCCTGGCGGAGGTCAGTTGGGGGGGGGTGAACGTGCCTTTCAACTACGGTCAGCAATTCCCTACTGCTTTCCTTGCCAAAGGTCACAGCTGTATTGGCAACATGTCTGGAGGGGGGTCGGGTCCGAATCTCACCATCAGCATTGGCAGCCGATTGTCAATGAGGCATCTCCGGCAGCGTGACAGTTCTTAACTCGACTACACAGGTCGAGGCATGACGGCTCAACGCATGCCCCGGGGAACGCTTGAAGCTGCGACTGTCGATGCTCAGCAGCTTGGCCTGCAGCTCCAGCGAGCTCGAGGAGCTTTTGTGGGTTCGGGACGACTACACGGTGTTCTCCATCCGGGGGTTTCCGAAATTAGGGGTCCTTATTTATCATTAGTTTCGTAAACCCCAATCTATTTCGGTCCGTTCCGGGTTCCGAGCATCTCCCTTGGCCACGACGGTGGCAGCACGGGGCTTGTTGTTGATCAATGCCTGGTCTCTAGACACGTCAAATCACTCTCAGGCTCTCAGACATCACCCATAAGGGAAGGTTGTCCATAAATGCTGCTCGAAGATCGCCCTACGGCAAAAAAGGGAACCTATCGGCAAGGTGCCAACTCACCAAAGTAGTCGCCAGCTGCGTAGCTCATGACTTCAACCTCGCCCTTGGTAGCCACGCAAAGACCGTCCTGCGCCAAGGCAACGGATCCACGAAGCTTGCACATGAACCACGGGGCCTCAATGATGTAGAACTTGTCGCCAGCTTCACCCTCTGTGATGACCTTCTGACCCTGCTCGAAGGTCTCCACCTCCAAATGCGCGCAGATCTTCCGAGATCAGGGTCATTTGCGGCGTTGGCTGTGCTGCAACCGCATCCCTAGTTTGGTCTACAAGTATGTCGGCTCAAAATGTGCCCACCTCCCGCCCCAACCCCCCCCCCCCCCCCCAATGGAGCCTTGAGGGCATCAGCGAGCTGCGAGCGCTCGTAGGCGTCCATGGACGAGAGCAAAGGCACCTGCTTGGAGCACGCATGTGGACGTCGGGCTTGAGGATTTTAAGATGTTTCAAGGCGGGTAATTTGTCGCCGGTTCTAGATGGAAAAAAAAGAGAGACAAGACGGCCTAACACCCTGAACCCTAAACCCTGCAAGGGCGGTCCTTTCTCCCTGCCTTGCTGAGGAAGGCGTCATATCGCTGGCGCTTCTTCTCGGCGGCCTCCTTCACCTGAGTTTCATTACTTCGGGTTACAACAAAGGGACCCCTAAAATAGACATAGGACCCCAAAAGGTACCCCGAGTATCGTAAACCCCCATTTTATTGACGGGGGTAGCGACAGCCTTAAGCACTGTGGGCTGGCAAGACCATGCGAAAAGCAACTGGGTTAACGGTTGACCCGGTAACCTGGCTTCATGGCTGTGTGATTTACCCGCGTCGTGGTCTTGAACCCTGCCGAGACACAATGTGGGTGAAGGTGTCGCGGTCAAGCTGCCACAGCACACAGTCTTCCTGGAGGGCATGAGACTGCCAGACAAAGGGACAGCACGCCAGTTCACACTGCATTCTTGCGCTTCCTCAGCAGAATTTAGGCACTTGACTGATATATTAGATCATAAATATATTATTAAAGATATTGAAACTGAAACGTCCCTTTTAAATGACTTCTTACATAATGAACACTTACTTGCGACGCTGTCGCGCCTTCGCCTCCACCGAGGCTGCACGGGGGCAGTTGTAAAGCAGAGCAAGCTCACCTGCAGTTTGAGGAGGTGCGGCCAGTGACATCCCTTGCCAAGTGCATTCACGGGTGCAACTCTGGCAACCTGCCAAGCTCCCGACCGAAGACATCGCCCGGCTCACACTTCTTCACCACCGTCTCCTCCGCATCCTCGCCCTTCTTGATGAGACAACTCGGCGTCAGGAGCAGTCTGAGTACGGCTCAGCAGCAGACAAAGTGGCATGGTTTGCCTGCATCTGCCAATGGTTCCCCTCCCCCGAAAGGCTCTTCAGCTTCCTCTGACAAGAGATTATGAAAAGTCTTGTCTCGCTGTACGTGCCAGTCCGCAACCCAGGCTGCCTTGACCCGACTAAATGCGCATCCGAGCTGCTCCAAAACGCCCGACTCAATGACGAACAAGAAGTCGCCGTTGTCACCTGCAGGTCGGACAGTTTGTAGACCAACGAGTCCTCCCCACAGCAGAAAGTCACTCAAACGACGCTTCGGCCTTGGTTGATCACGCGGTTGCCAACTTTCGCGTTCACTTCCTTCATTGCACCAATGACGATGTTGAGATCATTCCTGAGCACTGCAGATCACGTTGCGGCTGCAATGTTCGAAGTTCGTGACATGGTCACGACGGAAACGAAGTGCCAGCTGCTGGCACGAGTATACCTGTCGTGCTAGCAGGAAGCAAAAGACGTGTGTGAAGCCAGGGGGCGTGTCCAGGTTGGAGAAGAGGAAGGACTTCACCAGACAGCCCTGACGCGCACGGCGTGAGAAGGGTCTTGCAAGCACTCGCAAACGCGGATCCGGGTGGGACTCTCAACTCTGCACTGTGATGGTACTGTAACATGGTAGGGGTACTTGGACTTCTGGCACAGCCACACACACCTCCTTAAAAATGGCTGGAACTGGCCAAGGGTGAGTGGCCTTGAGGCGGTCCTTCTGCTCGTCTGATTTGATGATCACCGGAGGCACGAATGCCTTCTTGGCGTTCCTTTGTGAGGGTCGGTGGCCATTGGGGGCTTCGGATTCGGAAACTCTCAGATTCGAGAACTCCTGCGAGAATAACAGAAAGTTCTCAAATCAACTCAAAAGCCTTTGAACAGCATGAGAGCCCGCACAAGTCAGAATGGTCTGGCAGTTCCCACAACGTTGCTTAAAAGAAGATCGCGAGCTGTTTACCTACTGAGGTACCCCCACTAAAGTATCATTGCGAAACGCAATGTGCAAATGCCGCAGAGAGGCCACTCACCATAAGCTTCGGCAGAGACGCTGGTTCGACTCGGCGCGGAGAAGCACTTTGCATACATGAAGAAGAGACAGGACGAACATGCCATGCACATGGCGACAGCAGGCGCGTGCGGCGCTGCCTCGCTTCAAGTGCCTGAGGCGCCCACCCGCGGTTGTCCATGTCCTTCTCCCAGCCGGGAGGTGGCTCATCGTCCTCCGGGAAGACATGGGATCCAGCAGTGGCTTCAGAGGCCTTGCCCTTGTCGCAGACAATCTACTCTAGCCGCTGCAAACAGGGGTTGAAGGTCTCCTCGTCATCTTCCTCTTCCTCCTCCTCCTCTACTGGTGCGGCGCTTTCCGTCACCATCTTGGCCGCCTCCTGCACCTATCACGCAAGAGGGCTTCTCAGGGACTTCTCATGAGGCTTCGGGGGCTTGGGGCCTCAGGGCTTCAGGACACAGGCTTGCAATGGCAAAAGAAGATGTCTCAAGCTTTCGACTGGCGAACTGGGACAGTGGCAGGGGGCAACAAAGTTCGTCGTCAGCCAGCTGATGTAGAGCAGATGATTTCATGGAAGAGTGTTAGAGTCCCTCAAGCGAGGATTGATCCTGTCCCCGCCAGCATTCGGCTCTTGCACACCCTGATACCACCAGGCCTGACCCTTCAGCTTGTTGACCTGAGCTTCCATGGTCGCGCAATGCTGCAGTGACTTCAAAAACCAGCGAAGCTTGCTAGATACATACTGAGCTTGGCTTTTCACCTTCACAGCCATGTCCTCATTCTCCTTGACCAGTTTGTCCTTCTCTTCCGGGCTCAGCAACTTGTCCTGTCAACGGCTTGCCCTCAGAAGAGGACTGAGGCTCTGAGAACTGCTTGCCGTTGTGAAGACAGCCATACTGATACCCACGTGCGGGCCATCCTCCTCTGCGGCTCGCTTGCCTTCAAGCCTGCCGCCGCCGTGCTGCGATCTATGCTCAATCTGCTGGTCTTCTGTTCAGCCAGGGGGCCAGTCCAGCATGAAAGGCACAGGATCCTGGAAGAAGCATTAGGGTTTGGGGTTTAAAGTTTAGGGTTTAGGGTGGAAATGCTAAACCCTAAACCCTAAACCCTAAACCCTAAACCCTAAACCCTAAACCCTAAACCCTAAACCCTAAACCCTAAACCCTAAACCCTAAACCCTAAACCCTAAACCCTAAACCCTAAACCCCACACCAGTTCTTTACAACATGAGACCCCCTGGACGATTCGTCAGTGGGTACTATCCTTGGGCATCTTGTGGATGCACTCTGCCACCATCTCTTCGAGCACCGGGTTCAACAGGTCCATAATGTACCTGGGCAGTTTCTTAAATTAGGATCCCTAAACCCTAAACCCTAACCCCTAAACCCTAAACCCTAAACCCTAAACCCTAAACCCTTGTTGGGCACCCACTATGAGGCGGCGGCCTTCCAAAAGGGGCAAAAAAGGGACTCCAAATTGAGAGAACTACCCGCCTGAAGGCAGAGGAGCATAGTGATCGTAAGGCTGCGGTGCGCAGGACCGACGTGTGGGGGAGGAGCTGTCTCCGATCTCTGGCTGCTCTAGGAAGAGCTTGATCTGAACCCACAACTCGGGGAAAATGATAAAGTTATCCCAAGTGATCTCTAGTGATTGACGTGCTCTCCAAGTGGCTTCTTTTTGTCCTCGGAGATCTTCAGCGCCTGGGGCTGCGAAGGCACTGCCGTGATCGCGCCCCGCAAAAAACCCTGAACCCCTACAATCCGACCTCAAACCTGAAATTATAGCTCTCTGAACCACTATCCTAAAGCTTCCGTGCGCCAGAAGCCTTAAATGACGGAATCCCGGAACAGAGCGCACCGAGGTGCTTCGAGCCCCTCCATGGCGCCGGCTTCTCTCCGAAAAAGCAAACTAGAATCGGGTGTGTCAGGGACTTGGGGTCCCGCCTTTTTGAGCCGAAAGCCCAAACGAGAGTGCGATGTTATAGTAGGGCCACAGGGCTTCACCAATGTCTAGGGAGCTTAGAGCTTAGGCTTCAGCATTGAGCTTCCTCCTCGGTGTGCCTAAACGCGAAAACCCTGGACTGCCGGCCACTTCCGCAGCCTCCACAAAGGACTGCAGACGTGCCTTGGTCCGTAGCTTAGCTGCTTGGCCATGCTTGCCACACACGAACGAAAAAATGGCATGTATACATACATACATACATACATATATATATATATATCTATCTATCTATACTTATGCTACCATATGTATATATATATATATGTATACACATACACCTTCCATTCCATTACTTTACATTCCACCACATTACAATTCATCGTGTGACAAGTTCTACTTTACAGTTCAGCACCTGATATTACATCACACACACACACACGCACGCACGCGCACACACACACACACACACACACACACACATATATATATATATATATATATATAATGCACGCACGCACAACAAGCACACGCACGCACTCATTCATTCTATATCTATAAGTGTGAATATATATATATATGTCATATACATGTACATATACCTATGCATATACATATGTATATACATACATGCACATGCACGTGCATTTGCATGTGCATTTGCACATGCACATCCACATACACTGACATACTCATACACATAAACAGGCAAACTCGCCTACCCGTGCGCGGACACATAGTTCATAAACGACACCGCAGCCCCTCTACCTGTTTATGCTTTGTTAAATTGTTAAAGGTAGATGACAACCGTGAAAAAACACATTATGTGCATGCTGAGGGCGAGCAACAGCTTAAGAGTCGCACCGATTCGGCGGCGGCGTCGTCCGCCTGGGCGAGCAGAGCCGGCGGCTGCATACGGCGGGAGCTTTCCGCTACGGTTCCATAGCAATTGCTTAGATCCCTTCTGGGTGGCTGGGCCGTGCTCTGCGCCTTGCCGGTTGCGATCGTGGTGTCCTGCAGGCCCCGGCGCCTGAGAGAATGCCCACTTGGAGCATGGCAAGTCGTAGGCACGGCTGTGGCAGAAAGACAAGTGGATGTAGCAAAGCAGCTGCAAACTAAACCCTGAGGCCCTGAGTCCCTATGCTGGGACGGACATCTAAGCAGGCGACAGGCTGATGCAGCTTTCGTCCACACCCGGCATGGCGTCTGTCAAGGCTTTCACCTGCATACGGACCTGTGCAGCAAGCTCAGGAAGAGTTCTTCAAGGTTTGGTGAACAAGTGCACTGTGTACGAGTAGGGTGGTTGCTCCCCGAGTTGTTTTTTACCCTGCCTCCATGAAGTCAGATCGCAGCGCGCTCATCTGTGTCTTCAGGTCATCCATGCCAGCCTGCTCACCGAAGGGTGGCTGCCCATCGCTTGGCTGATTTTAAGAGTCGCTAACGTGCCAAGGACCCTCAATTCCGGAGACAGCTGCGCCGAGCGCCGCATGGCAGGCCTGCGCTTCGGAACGTGTGGAGGACGCCACATCCTCCAGAGGGGGCTGCTCAGGTGGTCCCACCACCAGTAAGAATGGTGTGAGTGTCTCAAGGCAGGTACAGTAGCACCACAAGTCAGGGCAGGCTCTCAGTCACACACACACACACGCACACGCACGCACGCACGCACGCACACGCACGCACGCACGCACGCACGCACGCACGCACGCACGCACGCACGCACGCACGCACGCACGCACGCACGCACGCACGCACGCACGCACGCACGCACGCACGCACGCACGCACGCACGCACGCACGCACGCACGCACGCACGCACGCACGCACGCACGCACGCACGCACGCACGCACGCACGCACGCACGCACGCACGCACGCACGCACACGCACGCACGCACGCACGCACGCACGCACGCACGCACGCACGCACGCACGCACGCACGCACGCACGCACGCACGCACGCACGCACGCACGCACGCACGCACGCACGCACCACCACACGCACGCACGCACGCACTCACTCAACTCAACCGCACGCCCACGCACTCACATCACGCTACTCACGCACACACACACACACACACACACACACACACACACACACACACACCACACACACACACACACACACACACACACACACACACACACACACACACACACACACACACACACACACACACACACACACACACACACACACACACACACACACACACACACACACACACACACACACACACACACACACACACACACACACACACACACACACACACACACACACACACACACACACACACACACACACACACACACACACACACACACACAAGAACACGATGCGATGTGCTTGTGTCCGATGATCGCCTTCCGACTTCACGTCTCACACGTCCTTGAACCCATCGACACATACTGGCACCGACGCCCACGCACACACACATTTTGACGGACACAGCCCCTGCATGCGCTGCAACCCCAGCCCTGTTTCCTTCTGACGGCACCAGCCCACGGACTAGCTTCGCGCACCGAGCAACGCCAAGCGGGCACACATCCTTGCCTTGAACTGCCCAAACTGGCAACCCTACTTGTATCAACCTCCAAGCCCTCAAAAGCATCCTGGACCGCTGCAAGCTCACAAATATCTTAAACCTAAACTCCCAAACTCCCAAAGGTTTGCAGCCTAAACTGCGGGGCGCAAGCGCCGTCCTCCAGCCCTCGGCGGGCTTCACTTCGTGACTCCAGGAACTGGCCCTGAAGCTCCTGACACGGCGAGGAAGGGCGTTCTGGGGAAAGCTCTGTGGGGAGATCCCTAACCTAGGGCTTAGGCCGGGCTTAGGGATGTTTAGGGCTTGAAGGCGCGCAGGAGTTCAGGCGGGACTTGCGAAGTGCTCCTCGAAGTCGGGTGCGCCCATCCACAAAACCCCAAATCCCCTCAAGCCCCACAGCAAGGCCTAGACCCCTCAACGTCCAACCCCAAACCTCACTTCTAAAGCGCTCAAACCATAAACCTTTCACCCTGAGCCCTCAACCTCGAGCCCCTACATGTTTAACTGCCGAAAAAACCCCTAACCCCCCTAAATTCCTAAAGCCCTTAAAGCCCTTAAAGCCAGTAAAGCCCTTAAAGCCCTTAAAGCCCTTAAAGCCCTTAAAGCCCTTAAAGCCCTTAAAGCCCTTAAAGCCCCAAAACCAGTCAACCCGAAGCCTCCAACGCCCCAAACCCACAAGGCACCTCGATCAGCGCGAGAAGCTCGCGCCCGTTGATGCGCGCAGCTTCCGTCGACTCCGCCATGTCTCGACCTGGGCAGGGGCTTAGGGTTTAGGGTTCAGGGTTCAGGGTTTAGGGTTTAGGGTTTAAAGTTTTTGGTTTTGGGTTTAGGGGTTTAGGGTTTAGGGCTCAGGGTTTAGGGGTTTAGGGGTTTAGGGGTTTGGGCTAGCCAGGTTGAGGCGCTTTCTAGTCTTAAATTCCCATATGGTGTTTAGGGTTTGGGGTTAAGATTTCAGGTTGGGTCTTGGAGGTTTGGGGTTCAGGCTTCGGGTTTCAGAGCCTTCGGAGTTTAGGGCTTAGGAGTGCAGGGTAAACGGGGCCTCCCCTACTAGGCTTTCGAGGGAAAGCACTAGGGCAGGGTCAGGACGTGCATGCTGGCCTTCGCGGTGTGCTGTATTCAGCCTCCTGCAGTTTGCGTCTTTTGTGCGCGAAGGCCTTTAGGGTTTAGGGTTTTAAGTTAGGGGTTTAGGGTTTAGGGGTTTAGGGTTTAGGGTTTAGGGTTCCTTGCGCATCCAGCGCTTGCAAGTGCCATTTCATGCCCTGTTGCTCTCCTCGTCGAAGTCTCCGGGTATTCAGGTGACCCTCGTGAAATAGCCTAGAACTGCCACGCACTCACACTCAAAAGGAGAGTGCCGCCTGGCCTCCAGCCACCTTGCCATGCAGATTATTTCTTGGAAACCTGGCAATCCTCAAAGGGCAGTGTAGCAGCTATGTCCCCCCCTAAAAAACTTAATTCCCGGCGGCCGACTTCCCCTCAAACCGAGACCCACGAAGAACCTTGAAGCTTTGTAGTTCTCATCTCCTTTCGGGTTCTAGTCAGTTCAATGTTTGGGATCCCTTTAGGGTTGAGGGTTGAGGGTTTTGTGTTTAGGGCTTTAAGGGTTTGGCCATTGAAGGGACAAGGGGATACGACATCATGCAGAGGACAGCTCGCCCCCTAAACCCTAAGCCCTAAACCCTAAACCCCAAACCCTACACCCTCCAAAGCCCCCGGGCGCAGCTCCACCGAGACGTCCTGGAGTCGGTCCTGCTTGGGTGCTCGGAGGGCCCTTCGAAAACCCTCTGAAAAATATTCTTGAGTATGTTAGGGTGCATTCGGGTTTCGGGTTTAGGGTTTAGGGTTTAGGGTTTAGGGTTTAGGGTTTAGGATTCAGGGGTGGCCGGGAGGGGGGCTGGGGGAGGGGGGGGGGGGGGGGGTTTTGGGAAAACGGTTGCGTTACGGTTTGGCTACCTTACAAGGGGACGGGGCCCCAAAATGGATGGCTTAGCCTGTCAGGAACCTACTCTTCCCGAAAACAGGCCCCTCAACCCTAAAACGCATACATTCCATAAGCCCTATAACCCCATAAACCCCATAAGCCCACAAACCTTACAAAGCCCACAAACCCTTCTAGCCTTACAAACCCTAAAAGCCCGCTGACCCTAAAAGACGCCTATAAACCCCAGAAACCCTGAAAGCCCTATTCACCCCATAAACTTTTAAAGCCATATAAACCCCATGAACCCTTAAAGCCCTTTCAACCCCATAAACCCCTTAAAGCCCTGTAAACCCTGTAAAACCCCATAAACCCTTAAAGCCCTATAAGTCCCATAAACCGCTGAAAGCCCTGCAAACCCTGTAAAGCCTACAAACCCACCCATTTAATAAACCCTATAAACCCTTAAAGCCTTGTAAACCCCGCCCCGTAAACCGCACAAACCCTTAAAGCCCTATAAACCCTGCAAACCCCACCCTGTAAACCCAACAAAACCAGAAAAGAACTATAAATAAACCCTATCAACCCTTAAAGCCCTACAAAACCAGAAAAAACTATAAATAAACCCTATCAGCCCTTAAAGCCCTATAAACCCCATGCTCAAAGCCCGAAACCCTCAGCCGGTCCTGGCTCCCGGCCAGGCTCGAACGGAGCTCGTCGCGCAGCACCTGCCGGAGCTTTGGAGCTGTTCGGCGTTGGGGCTTTGAGGGTTTGAGGGTGTGAGGGATTTAGGGTTTTAGGGGTTTAGGGTTTAGGGTTTAGGTTTAGGGTTTAGGTTTTAGGGTGTAGGGCTTAGGGTTTAGGGTTCAGGGTTGAAGGTATAGGGTCCAGGCTGAAAGGTTTAGGGTTCTGGGCTGAGGGGTGAGGGTGGAAGGTTAAGGGTTCAGGGTTGAGGGTATAGAGTTAGGGGTTGAGGGTTCAGGGTGAAGGGTGGAGGGTTCGTGGTAGGCTTTAGGGTGAAGGGTCTAGGGTTCCTGGTTGAAGGTATAGGGTTTGTTAAGAGTGCAAAACAATTGGCCAATTGGGTTTGGGATGAGGGTGGTGGCTTGTGGTGAGAGATGTTGGCGACCGTGATTTTTGCTGACGTGGTAGGTCGAACAGGAGCAAGAGAGACTGCAACGTGGACTGGCAATGAATCACCAAGAGGCGTGGAGACACCAGCAGGAGTGCGAGGAACACTTGGCCAAGGGGCAGTTCCTGGTGTATGGGCGTGGGTAGTGAGTAACTCCAATGGAATGACGAAATGGCCTGCAGGTCCGCCAGCAGGCCGCTCTCGAGATTTTGGAGCCCCTGGCAAAAGCAGGGTTTAGGGTTTGGGTTTAGGGTTTAGGGTTTAGGGTTTAGGGTTTAGGGTTTAGGGTTTAGGGTTTAGGGTTTAGGGTTTAGGGTTTAGGGTTTAGGGTTTAGGGTTTAGGGTTTAGTTTAGGGTTTAGGGTTTAGGGTTTAGGGTTTAGGGTTTAGGGTTTAGGGTTTAGGGTTTAGGGTTTAGGGTTTAGGGTTTAGGGTTTAGGGTTTAGGGTTTATAGGGTTTAGGGTTCAAAAAAACCCTGAGGCCTCAATCCCAAACCCTAAACACTGAACCCCAAGGCCATGGCAGCATGGATCCCTTCGCAGCCTCCTTGCTGTCTTCCCTCGCCGCAGCCACAGCCTCAAGTGCTCCGAAACACTGCACAGAGACAGAGACAGAGACAGGAGACAGGAGACAGGAGACAGGAGACAGGAGACAGGAGACAGGAGACAGGAGACAGGAGACAGGAGACAGGAGACAGGAGATAGGAGACAGGAGACAGGAGACAGAGACGTGCAATAGCCTTGAAAGCGTGTGTTCTAAACCTGGAGATCAAGTTGCTACAGCCGATGCAGCCCCACATGCTTGGCTGCGATGATCTGAAGCTCTGGATCCTTCTACTACTGCACAAATGATTGGCAACTTGCAGCCCCAGATGCGCGGAAACTTCGCAAGTTAGAGGGTCTTCTCTCCAAGGGCCCATGTACCAATGCCAATTTTCGGTATACGTACAGTCATGAACCAAAAAAAGAACCCTCTGATCATCTCTGATCTGTCTAGCAAGTAATTACCACACATAGATTCCGATTTGATGGTTTAGGGCGTTCGTTTCGCACGGAAGGGTTCAGGAAATTTAGGGGCAAACTTGTTCACCCAACGCCTGGGGTGGAGACGTCATGGTGCAACAAGGCTCTATATCTGAAACCTAAACAGAGGAGCAGCATCATGTGCAGGGAAGCCGAAAGACATGTTCACGATGAGTGTTTGTGTTTCTGCAGCCGACCGTGACTTGCACCTTTGTCCGCCATGATGTCAGGATCTAAACCCTAAACCCTAAAAACCCAAGTGAGGGTCTCCGGAAAAAAGGGGTACCTTTTAAGAGTTTGCTACTAGCTATCTATTTGGGGTATAACAGGAGTACCCTATTTTGGGAAATGCCCAAGTGGGGCTCGAACGGAGCTGATGCTGTCCGCAAGGTCTGCCCTGGCCCGCACAATGGCCGAGGCGGTCTGCTCCGAAGCCTCCCGGTTTGGGGCCTTATGGGGGCAGTTGCAGAACTCTAGGAACTTTGAGAACTTTCGGAACTTTCTGGTTGAGACATGGATCATTGGGGGATGCGGGCGCATCTTCTCGAAACTCAAACATACCGATGAGCCTGTTTTTTCGGGACCAAGAAGCCATGCGCTTCGAACTACAGCACTTCTACGTTCAGCAAAGGCATTCCTAGGGAAACTACTCTCGAATAACCCTCAAGCCTGTAAGCATGCTTGACATCAGCCCTCAAGAAGCCTGAAGCACTAAAACCCTCGAGCAATTACCCCAAACCCGAAACCCGAAAGCCTAAACCCTAAACCCCTTAAACCCCTCAAGCCCTAAACCCTAAACCCTAAACCCTAAACCCTAAACCCTAAACCCTAAACCCTAAACCCTAAACCCTACCCTAGCCCCAAATGACTTACGGGCCTCCCGGAATTGGTCTGACACCTGCTGCCCTCGGCTCTCGAGGGCCTCCTGACGCAACTTTGGGCTTTCAATCTAGAATTGGGGTTTAGGGTTTAGGGTTTAGGGTTTAGGGTTTAGGGTTTAGGGTTTAGGGTTTAGGGTTTAGGGTTTAGGCTTTAGGGTTTAGGGTTTAGGGTTTAGGCTTTAGGGTTTTGGGGTTTAGGGCAGTTGCAAACGCAGGGGGGCAGGAACCCTTCAAACCTTCGATCCAAAGCTCGTTGAGCTAGGTCTTCCAGCAGCGTCTCCCGCAAAATCGGCACCGATGCAGCAGAAACGCCTCCTACACCCTACTTGGGAATTTCCCAAAATAGGGGTACACTTTTACTACCCCAAATTGCATAGAATCCCCTGAAAGGGACCCCCAAAAAGGGTACCCCCATTTTCGGAAACCCCCACTTAGAGGTTCAGCCGTGGAACCCCTCAGAGCCCTTCCATTGCATTATATATATATATATATACACATATATATATATATACATATATCTATATATACATATGCATACATACATATAGGGGCTTCCGGAAAGAGAAGTACCCTTTTTGGGGTTCCTGTGGCCCTATTTTGGGGGAAACGCCCAGAATTACCAGCAGACCAGCAACGTCTCGACGGTGGCGCCTCGGCTGCAGAGGCACGGCCGTCACAGCGGGCGCAGGCATCCTCAGGGGGGTCCGAGATTAGGATTTAGGGTTTAGGGATGAGGGTGTAGGGTTCAGGGTTTAGGGATTTGGGTTTAGGGCTATGGGTTAAGGGTTCAGGG